TTTTTAAATTACTGTTTTATATTTAAAACATGAAAAAAATATTAATAGCTAAATATAAACAAATAACTACAATTGTTTATCAATTTAGATAAAACGGTTTGGATCAATAAAAAAACATCTTCAGTTTCATTACTTACAACTTAATACATAATGATTCTATAATTTTAATTGTCAATGAGAAACAAATTTTAAACATCCAGCAAATAGCACTGTTTAATACAAGTTAAAATATTTGTTGATACTTTTTGAAAAGTGATATCATTTGGAGAAGTTTTATTTCTTAAGGAAAATATTGATACCAGATAATAAATGTAATTATTATAAATCTGAATAGGCACTAATTAATAGTATATTATTTTAGCTTTTATAATCATGTAATAAGTTGAAACCTGAAAACTGACTTCACTTATCCACTATTTGGTGTTAACACTTCATTAGGATGTTTTGGCTCATTCTAGAATATTCTTTTTAAGTACACTATTTGAAAAAAGTTTACTAAATTCATTTAGAATGACACTAAGGCAAAGTGAAATAAGGCATCTAGTATTATTTTTCAAACATTACTTTCAATATTGAAGAAAAATAATTTGTTTTATCTAAGATGTTTAAACGTAAGAGATTGGTTGGTAAATTAATGACATGCTTACTGGCACTGGTAATTGGTGGGGGTATCTAGTCCGGCTAGTGGGCTCTACCTTTTTTTTCTCGCTTCCTCACTACCAAAGGTAGGGAAGCTTTGTATTCATGCGAGAAGTTAAAAAAAAATTTGTACTCAGAACTGAAAATTTTCACTCGCGTTTTACGTTTCAGACATCAAGGATCAAATTTGGTTTAGTGACTGCCTTTAGTCAAATTGATGTAACGGACATATCATCTGCTACTGTTTATCCTATTTTGATACAATTTTCAGGAATTGTGTGGTTTGGGACCTAGACGGTCCCATATCAATTTTATCAAATTCAATTCAGCACTTCCCCTTGTTCACGCATAAATGTATTTTCTTAGATAAACCAATATTTCAGAAAAGGCTTGTTCAATTTGGCTCAAAGTTGAAAGAATAGTGGATTTTGGTAAAATAATGATTTTATACTGAAATAATAAATTGAAAATTTCAAAAATTTGTCCTAAAATTGACAACAAAAATTTTAACCAGTTAAAATACAACTTATCTTTCGTCAGATGCATAAAATAATATCTTAAATAATACATACTCAGTAGATAAATCAAAATAGCTGTGATAACAGAGTGTGGTTGGACACGAATTCCTGAGAACCCTGTTTAGAGTGGTATAGGGCCAATTCCCACATTGTTAAGATAATATACATTTCATGGTGAGCTCATTAAATTAAATCATGGTATTCCCACTCTGGTTAGTATATGGCATTTGGGAAGCTATTAGGGATTGGCAAAAAAGGATCATAAGGCATAGCCACTAGCCATACTGGTTCTACTACCAAAACCAGTATCCAAACAAGGAAAACAAACAAAAGATGTGTTCTATAGAAACTTTGATGAAGAATGAAACATTTCCTATAAAAATGAACCGACAAATACTTTAGAGAAGAGCTAGAACCAAAATGGATTCACTTATTTTCTAGTATTATTATAGATTTTAGGGGTATTCATGCTCTTGTAAATGCTTCATGTGTAATCATGCTAAGCTGTCAGCACAAATTTTGAAGAAATGGTGGTACTAGTTCACAAGAGTTCCGCACGGATTACGCATGGTTCACAATCACTTCGGTCACACTTGTTCATGGAATCCCGAATTCCTTCGGGTTTATCCGACAGAGAACGAAGGCGACCGATCTCTTGAATTAGTTATTACAATTAACTTTCCCGCCATTTAAGTACTTCTATAACCTTAAACATGTTCAGTTATATTAATGTTATTTAAGGTATTGACTTAAATTCGAAATTTAGACTACACATTATGAAATCTGAATCGAACATGTACATATATTATATATTTGTGAAAAAGGAATATTAATAGATAAAAACATTTAATTATTACATCTCTGAATGATATTTCACAATATTTTTCTTATTTATGATTTCTATTATTCATTATCTCGGAATTATCATATATTCTTCATCAGTTCTTTTCTCAATACGTTAATTCCTTTCTCGAAAATAAACACGATTTTTTTATTTTACGAATGACTACAATAATCGCCATTCAGATTATTTATTATCCAAAGGATGAAAAACTCTTTTATACAATTTATAAAAGATAATACACAACAGTATATGCGTATTTTTTATAGCCACTACATGTAAGCACGTGTCAATAAAAATTTTATTTCTAAAAGCATTTTTTTTTTTACAGGCCTTGAAGAAAGGACTCAAACATTATTTTATATATGTTTTCTTTTTCTTTCACAGTAATGACCGTTATAATGCAAATTAATAATTAACTAATTAGTAAATACATTTTTAATAAGGAAGTTTCACGAAGGAAATAAGTTTTTTTTTTCTTCAAAAATGCATGAAAACGGATGAAAAGGTACAATAGCTGACGTCATAAAAGACGACAACATTCGGCTGTTTTCGGGATTCCATGAACAAGTGTGATCGAAGTGATTGTGAACCATGCGTAATCCGTGCGGAACTGTTGTGAACTAGTACCGAAATTGTAAATAACCTGTCTGTGCTAACCTGCTAATGTGTTATTAGTTGTAGTAAGGTTATGGCTGTACCGTAAACAAAGTTTGTGAGTTCTTAATTGATCTAATAACGTTTTGATTTATTTTTACAATGCCAAAGGGAAGTTTAAAGAATGAGTTACTGCATTATTTGGTTTAAAATACTTCTGATTCAGAAGGCAAAGAACAGTGAACAGAAAAAAACAAAAAGAATCAAGGTTCTCAAAACCTTGCAATAACCTTCTCCGTGCGGTTACGAAGTGATAGCGCGGCCATCTTTAACACACATTTTGTAAATAATTTTCTTAACTTTACACATTTAAGAGGTTGACAATATTTAGCACTGATCGCATGAATACCCCTATTGTCCTATCTTTATACAGAACCATTTGCAAGCACTTGAACTTTAAAGAACTTTTTAAAAATTAAATAAATGTTTTGTATAGCAACAAATTTTTCCTGGATAGAAAATTTTCACAATTGCTTAATAGCCCCTTCTTTCTTAAAACTGGTTTGAAATTATGGTACTTCTTTAATATTGTGATGCATATGTTATTAGATCATAAATTATAAAATTTCAACTTAATATAAATCATAATAAAACAAAACAAATGATGAACAATCATGATCTGATACAAATTTGGCAAATTTTTCTTTGATCCCAAAATGTAGTTTGTAAGACACCTTTAAAATGGTATAAATAACATTTTCAGTTTTCAATATTTAAGGATAAAAAATATGTTAAAACTATTCACTTAATAATCTTTACTATAGTGAATCTATTATAAGTGAGCATGGCATTTTATTGTAAAATTTCCAGAGCCAAAAAACCATAACCAATTTTATAAAATTATCTGAAAGAATTTGTTTATAAAAACTGTATCTAAAAGAATTTTAATAGGTGAGTGAAAGTAAAAATTAAAAACCAGCTCAAAAACCAATATAACACCAGCAATGAACAAACAAATATAAAAGAAAACTGTCTTAAGAACCAATCAACAAATATTTGTTAGATTATTTTTTAGACATGGCCTTTTAATATATCCTAAAATAATTTTGTCACATCATTAAGAGAAGGTTCTATGGAATAAATACTGTATTAAGATTCCAATTGACAAGATGACATCTTGATACCTCTTTCTAATCTCTAAAACATTACCTTATTCAATAAAATACCTTACCTTAAAACTGACACATTAAACTTAAACCTAAAAGCTATAAAGAATTATTAAGTAAATTTTGCGTACATCAAAGGCAGAGCTGCAAAAAAAGGGAAAAGTGACTTGCAAGAAAGAAAATAGAAAATTATGGGGAAAATTATGATGAATTATATTTCGTAATTATAAATGCTATTTACAACAATTTGAAATCAATATTGTTATTACCAATTGATAAAAATATTCACAAATGAAAATATTTTACTTAAAAATATCCTAATTTAAAATTTATAATTTAATAACCCACACAACTCAACATAATATATATATATTTTTTTTTTTTTCTCCTAACCAATAACCTAACATTGGTTATGTCATTCCCAAGTCATTTTTCCACAAAAAATGTCATTTTTTTAATGTTGTAATTGTATGAGCCACGATAAATATATAAGTTGAAAAAATATTAAAACTCACTGAGAACTAATGTCATCTAACTTCAGACACGGTATAAAAAATGAGGATGTACTATGACCCAATAATAAATCATCATCTTCATTCCAATAAACATACACATTACATAAGGTAATTTAAAAATTAATCTGTTGACTAATTCTTGAATTAAAAAAAAAAGTAGTTAATTTAAATACAGCCGAACTATTTCAAAAGATAAACAAATAATAACATTAAAATTACTTACATGTCAAGCTATAGATTTCATAAAACTGATGCGTTATCTCATAAATCTCTAAAAAAACACATAAATAAAATGCTACAGCATTTCAACAAAGGTTTCTAAAATACCCATTAAAAACTTATTTTCAGAAACCGTATCAGAGAGGAAAACTTTTTTTTAGTGGTTTTCTTTATCTGCATTGTAAAAAAAAATAATATGTTCATATAGTTATTTGAACTTTATGCAATTCACAGCCAACCAAAACATATACCTCCCCTCCCCTCTTTCTTGACAAACATAATAGTGTCATAAATCATTGATACAAAATTATTTGAGAAAAAAAAAAAGAGGAAGACCTTAACCCAGTCAGAAACCATGGATTACTTATATCCATGCTTGTATTGTTTTTATCTATTTATTTATTTTCAAGCTGCGCTTCCTTAACTTTAATCAAACATTAAAAAGCTTCGCTTCCTTAACTTTAATCAAACATTAAATTAATGTCATATGATCTTAAAAAAAAAAAAGACTAAAAATTGTTTATTTAAAAAACAGACGTCCACAGAATTGATGACAGTCAATCTAGAGAATTTATTTCATATAATTTTCCCAATATTTTCAAAATCCTTTCCAATATCAGTTTTCCAGTTAGTTTTGCAACCCTCCGCTCAAACCTGGATCTCTTATGAAAATATATAGCTCTAGAGCGGGCCGACAAGGAGGGGGGTGGGAATTCAGGTACAGAGGCCTTGACTGTTTGGCTCAGTAACGACATCCTGCGACTTGAAATGTGCCCTGAGGTGGAACATGAACTCTGTCCTATCAGAAAAGTCCTGCCGGCACATGAGGCAGTAATGTCTATCGGGCGAAGGGAAGGGAGGCGGCTGATAAGGAGGGGGTCCCTGTGCCTCCAGGTGGGCCCGTGCATGCGCTGACCACTCCTCCCGACCGGACAACACACGCCCGCACAGCTCACAGCTCCATCCTCCATTCTGCTGCAACCATAAAGACACATCCTTCATGAAGTAAATAGAAATACAAAAGCAAGTAGCAGGCCAACTGGCAAAACAGTCGAACTGACCAACATTAATCTAAATTTTCATAAATAAAAAATATAAGAAATTACAGCAAAAATTCTAATAAACTAACAAGAAATTATGATTAGAAATAAACAGCATAAGATAAGCTGCTCCTTAGGCGATGTGAATAATGTTTTGGAGCAGGGAAACAGAGCATATTGAAAAAAAAATATCTTAAACATTAATGATTATCCTTAATATAATTTTCTTGTATTTTGGAGTCTTTTAATATTTCAGTTTATATTTTATAAGCTAACAAACAGTACACCAATAATATTTTCACTTGCAATCCCTATCTTGGAATAACAACTTAACAACTGAACTGATAATATGGGAGCTGAAAGATAAAAGAATGCAAATAGATAAGACGATTATCACAACTAGTTATAAGAAGACACGTATTTTTACATGAGAAATTGGAACATGATGGACTTGAAAATGGGCCAATGAGCTGAAACGTTGTCATTCCAAGGTAGGGATTGGAAGTGAAAACATTATTGGTATACTGTTAGCTTATGAAATATAAACTGAAAAATTAATGATTATTTTAAAAATTAAATGCATAACATTTGAATCATAAAGTATTAATGAATAGAGAAAAATTAAATAATATAAAACCTCTTAAAAATAATACACAAAGAAAACTTCAAACAAGATAATATTAATATTTGTAAATCTCACACAAATAATTAAATAAAGACTATGAAACAGGAAAAAGGTTAATTATAAAGAACACATGCAATTTTTTTCTAAAACAACTCAGTCAGTACAAAATTAAATATTATTTTAAATTTTTAGCTTTAGATAAACCTGTCACAAATAATTGAGACAAAACCACTAAAAAGTAAAACAATTTAAAGAAAACTTATGCAAGTTATAAATAAAAACCAATTAGGAGCAAATAAAAAAAAAAATCTAACAAATTTGGCTGATGAATCTGCATCATCTATATTGAAATATGAGTTAAATGTTCTGATCTCAAATAGCTCATCAAATATTTCTGTTACGATTAAAAGTGAAAAATATTACCTACATGTCAAACCTCACTCCCTTTTCATACTTTTAATGATTTCAAGATGTCTAGTAAAATTCTCTTGGAATATGTCTGCCCCCACTAAGAAAAATTCTTCAGGCAGCCTTGTCAGGGCCTGAAATATACAAACAGAAAATAATATCGAGGAACATATATACAAATAATTTTCATTTTTTTTTTTCTTCTTACTAATCCCTACAAGACCCATTTTTCATCAAACGATGAACCGTGATGAGCAGTTATAACAACCAATTTAACGCCTTAGACGGCCAAGACATGTGATATCAAACTGATCTTTCATATTTAATATATATTTTACCAATTTATTATTATTATATAGTCCAAACATCAGGTCATTATTTATAGATAACTTGATAATGAGCTAATGTGGCTCGAAACATGGTTTCTTGTTTAAATAAATGGATGTTGAAGTGATAAGAGTAAATAGTTATTTTGTAAGTAATGAAGAATAAACCTATTTGAGAGGTTCATTAGAAGCAAATATTTAGTACAAGATAACCCAATGGAAGAGATAATTGTTTTAAAACATAAAACTCTTTTTCAAACACAGTTGAAAGTATCTCCCTCATTAGCAGACCAATAGCTGAGAAAATACCGACACTGAAACATTGTCTAAAATGACATAAAAAAAAAATAAAATAAGAATCTGATGAAATAACACGTTTTCACTTTGCTCTACCTTTTCTAGATTCAAGACATTACTCAATATGTAAATATGCTGAAAATAATTACCTCAAACTTTTATTTAACTATGTCCAGTAACTTTTTTAACAAATTAAGATATCTAAACAGTATGTTGGTAATGAATTAGGTGCTGTTAGACCAACAGACATTAAAAATAACACACTAATAATCAATTAGCAAAACACTGTTTACATATATTCTAATATGATTTATTCTCTGCCTTGCATGTCCACATTTAACACAAATTTGCTGTGTTTTGATTTACATATACATAAAATACAAACATATTTTAATTTAATATTTAGTTATATATGTATAAATGCAACATTGTATACTAATGAATACATTTTAATATTAACAATAAAAATTAAGGGCAAATAAATTTTAAGTAAATTAATTTTTAAGTTCTTATTTTTTGAAGATTATTTTTCCACACTAATTTACACCCATTGGTCAAATTTAAAAATAAAAAATTACAATAATAATAAATGAACTAGATAAAAATAAAGGAGGAATTTGGCTATTGATGCATCTACAGTATAGATTGTGAATGTATAAATTAAATTATTAGTATTTTTTTACGTGTCTGTATATGTGTGTTCATGCTAGAAAGAAAGGAACAAAATAAGTGATATTACCATGACAGCTATTTATTATTATATACACGACAGCTATTTATTATTATATACACGACAGCTATTAATTATTATATACACGACAGCTATTTATTATATTAGTTAGAATAAAGTTAGAAGTTTCTTTGTATATTTTGTACGAGACCAAAAAAGAGAAGCACAGGTATTGCTAATTCTTGTCAACAAATATTAATTATATTTCATTACTGTAGTTAATAGTAAGCTAAAGATTTTAAATTCCATTTATCAGCAATGCAATTATGTTTCTATATCACTCTTAAATTATTGAATATTTATCAGTATATTTTCAAAAAATAAAATTATATCTGGTTACTTTAGTAAGTTTTTCAAGGGCACTTAATGTACTTAAAAATGGTGTCTTCAAGGATACATATAAGCCCTTATAGTTTTACTATTTATTCAATTTTTAACAATGTTTTGACACAATTTGTAAAATTATATCAGTTTTATTAGCTTCTTAATTCAACTTAAAGGTAATTAATAAATTTCACAAACCGAAATATGGTTTTATTATCTGCTCACTATTAATGATTCATAACGTTTCAACAGAATGCCTATGATTTTACTGAACACAATAATAAATTTATCAGTGTTAATGAATGAATAAGTATAATGAAATAATTTTCTAACAAGCAAGTTTGATATTATTAATATAGAGTTAAAATATTAAAGATTCATACAATTCATATTCTTTTATAAAAACTGCATGCTTTTCCATTTTTGTAAAATAATCCATGAATTATTAACCCTTTTTGGAAGTAGATATATCAGGAAAGTATGGTTTAATGATTGTAGCAATAATATTTTTATTATTAAGGATAAATATTTAAGCCTGTGCAGTAACATAGTATACAGTAAAATTCTTATCTTAAAAATCCCGTAGAGCACAGCCAAATCCTTCATTTCTTGAGTATTTTTAAGATTCTGTACAACTTTTAATATAGAATATAAGAGATTCCCTCAAATATAAGAAACAATTTTTTTTTTCTCGTAAGGAATTTGACAAATTAAATAATGTAGTAAAATTGGAATTTCAAAACATTCAAAATATGAAATTTGATTACAGCACTACTTATATATTTTAGACATTCCAAATATAGAAATAAATAATATCTTAAACCATTAAAAAATAAAATAGATGCTTATTTTCATTAATCTTACACAGTGATAGGTATTTATAAATTTAATTGAGGTTAAAAACATATTTTACAAATGTTTAAAATTGAAATTTTATTAGGATTTATTAAAAATCTTTAAATCTAAATTATATAAATTTTAAACTTCAAATTTAAGATACCATCATATTTTAAATTGCACCCTATTTTGAAAGTTCATCAAATTTTAAAATGCACCCAGTTTTAAAAATCAAGTCAAACTCTATGTTAATACTAACCTTGAACAGAACAAGTGCAAAAACTGAACTTTGTTAATCCCCATATAAAATGCTTTAAAAAATCATATCAAACAACTTTAACAAACTAACTTTGTGAGTTTTCAGGCTAAAATTGTGAGCATTCAATGCAGACATAAATTTTTAAAATTATTAGTCAAAGAAAAACTGAACTCCTATCTGTCACATGTTTAACAGTAAAAAATAAACAAAATGTAAAATTTGAACTGAAAGATTTCTGTACTCAGACTGTAAACGGTAAACAAGCCGTGCTATTTGTGTTTCCTGCTACAACCAGAAAGAGTTATCTATGAAGGGTGGAAGCGGTGCTGAGCACTAATAGTAGATTCTAATTATCATAAAAAAAAATTAAAAATGGTAATATTAACTACAGAAAAAATCAAGCATCATAAAATAGGTCTAAAATTTTAAATATCATTTAAAATACCAATAACCAACCACAAATCAAGTCTAACAATAGTTAAAGTCCAGAAAATTGTAATTAAAAATGAAATCAGATAACAGTACCACACAATCACACAGAAATAATCAAACAAATTGCTCAAACTGAAACCAAGCATACCGGTAGGTTTGTAGGTGGTGGTGAACCTTGCTGTTCCTCTTTTTCTTTTTTCTCATTCGATTGACCAGGAGACTTCACCTCAAGAGGATGACTTCTTTTGGCTAAAGGTGCAAGATTTGAAGGTGTCATATGTTTCATCTTGTTTACATGAATAACTAACTTGTCCCTCCGAGCAAATGCTTTTTTACAAACTTCACAAACATACGGTTTCTCTCCAGTATGAATTCTCATATGAATAACCTGAAACAGACCTCAGTTAAAAATAATAATGCTAAAATAGAACCCTAATAGTTTGTTAACAGTTCATATAAATGGTGTATATTTTTAATACCGGCTGTTGATCCGTATCAATTAATTCATACCTGGTTTGATGCAATAGCTATCTGAAGCCTATATATAGGATTGTCGAGAAAATAATGTAGGATTTTGGTTTTAAAAAAAAAAAAATTACAATTGTTTTATTTGATCAAAATAGTCTCCACTAATACCAATACATTTCTGCCAATGTGTTGGCAATTTTTCCATTCCCTCAGAATAGAATTTCCCATCTTTAGAATTGATAAACGCATTTTCTGATTCCCTTTGTCCATAAAGTTTTTGGTCACGTAGGTAATGGTTCAGGGGTCTAAAAAAATCATAATCTTTAAGTGAGAGGTCCGGAGAGTAGGGCAGACCTGGCAGAGTTTCATATCCAAGCTCCAACAGTTTTTGTGACATCACACGTGAAACATGTGGCCAAGCATTGTCATGCAACAAAATTGACCAAAGATGGCTTCATTATTGTCAATTACTGATGCATTGCATTAATTTGGTAACAATACGATTCAGCATTGATGATTTCTCCAGAATTTATGAAGCAGCAGTGTATCAAACCAAATGAAGCCCACCAAACAGTAATCCATCACCTTTTTTTAATGAGTTGGTGGCTTTGGAAAATGTTATGCTGCTTCTCCTTTGTTGAGCTACTGTACAGAACATCTACTGTTATCGTAAAGTATCCACTTTTTATCACAAGTAACAATTCTGGACAGAAAATGATCATTTTTATTTTGGCAAAGAAATGTAGCACGAACTTCATAATGCTGGTTTTTTTGGCGGTCGTTTAATGTTTGTGGAACTCAATTTTCAAGATTTCTTATCTTTCCAAACGCCTTCAGGTGGTCATCGACGGTCGATTTTCTGGGATTTTCTTCCACCAAAGGACGCAGAACATTTCCATCAAGAAAGAAAGTCCTTCCACGACCTTCTTTGTCTTCAAGGCTGAAGTTTCCCTCCCTAAATTTTTTGAACTACCACTGAACAGTGCACTCATTAATGCTGCTCCCGCCCCAGACTTGATTGATATTGCTGGCCGTCTGGGTTCCATTCCGGCCGAGTTGAAATCTTAGTAAAGACTGAATTATTTCTAAGCAGTGAAATGCTACAGAGGTAAACAAACTAAGGTAAACAGTATTGTTTGGGAGAGAATTAATAAGTGCTGACATTCATACAAATGAATAATCCAGTAAACCTTAACAGATTATTAAATAGAGAGGTATTTTAAAGAAAACTCAAAATCCTGCAATATTTTCCGGACAACCCAATATAACAGTTTCAAATATATATATATATATATATACTTTTTAAGAATGAAAAAAGAACACAATCACACATAATAAAACAATTTCAAAGTTGATACACCAAGTCAGAGGAACAGATAAGATATATATTTAAATTTAAACAAATGTCTGAGAAGACAAGAAAGATGGAATAACTAAAGAGCATAGCCATAGACTGTCAGAAAATATGGGATTTCCAAGACATGCATTGATCAATTACGACATCTAATTTTCTGACTGAAGTGCAGAAAGTAACAGGATGATCATTTAGAACTAAAGAAGAAAAAGTAATATTAGATCTGAGGAGAGAATTGGACTCTATAGAAACAGCATAAGTTTTCATCGCGATTAATCTTAATTTATTCAGTTTGTTCAGGCAATGATCTTATTTCGGTCTTCCTGAATATTGTCAAATTCTACTAATAACCCAGAAGAAGGAAAAGATAAATAGATTTGGAAATTACTAGTATAAAGCATTCATACCGTCTTCCTACCATTTCACTAATCTACTCAGCAGCATTCCTGATAGAAGAAATCTCTAATCAACTCAGCAGTGTTCCTGTGAGAAGAAATTGCAACAGCTTATTCACATTAATCATTAAATTGTTATCAGAGGGTCTTAATCATCCTTCCTCTGAACTGACGATCCCTTAGGAGCAGTTACAAAGCACCAAAAATCACAATCTGTTACTATCGAGTAAATCAATGTGATAGGACTGCTTGATGCACCTCAGCTTGTAACCAACCAGGTAGAAATCAGTAGGTAAATATAGTAAAGATACAAATAATTATATCAATGATAATAAAACACTTTATTTATTTTGGGACAACCTCTTTAGAATGATATGCAAAGACAGAAATGTGGACTTAGGAGTCTCAGAGATATATGTGAAGAATCACAAAATAAACAAATAGACATAATAAAAAATATATAAAAGTTGCCTTCTTGCTTTAATCAATTAAGAAAATAAAAATGAAAGACGTAATGTATAAAAATAATTAAAAATGAACAGATAATTTATATACATATTTACAATGTTATGGAGACTGGATGGATAGGAAGTAATTGAACAGGTGGGATTTAGAGGTGGAGAGGGTATTGGAATGACAGATGTAGGAAGAGATGAAGTTCCATAGGGATGAGGATCAAATAATGAATGAGCTGTTGAAAGCAGCAGTTCAGTGAGCCCTTGAAAATAATCTGAAGACAAGGCACAGAAATTGTGGAAATGAACAGAGAATTTAAATTGAAGGAGCTCAGAGATGTATGGAGGATAGCAGAAGTGGATGACTTGGAAGAGGAAGGATGCCAGAAAATACTTCTGACGGTGGGAAGGATAAAACAACTTCAATTCTACATAAAAATGGGAGACAGAGGCATCCCTTGGAATCCCAAAGATGAATCGAACAGAGCAAATAATCAAACATAGTTTCGCCTCCAGATCCCCAGAGGTGCCCCCATATACAGTACTGCAATATTCGAAGTGGAGAAATTTTAAAGAAGTGACCAGGAGCCTACAAATTTCAAAAAGAAATAGGTGACGGAGGTAATTTAGACATTTTAAGATGGAAAAGGTATGGCGGAAGATAATGGATACATAAGAAATTGATTAATTTCTTACCAATTTATCTTTCCTAGCAAGTCCTTTCCCACATTCTGTACAAGTGAAGCTCTTATTATTGTTTTCAACTTTTGGTTTTGTTTTTACAGTTTGAGGTGTAGTTGTTGAACTCGATTGTGTAGTTTTTGTCCTCTCAGGCTCAGCATTAGTGGTAAAAGTTGCTTGTTCTGTTGTAAAAGAACCACCTACTTGATTAGCATAATCAGGAGCCCTAAAATAAAACTAATATCAATTAAAATGAACAATAAAAAATAAATTAAGTAACTCCTGAATATACATGAGTTCAAATTGTGCATTAATAAAAGAATGTGGAGGAATAACTAATTCTCGAATTGCATATCAACAATCATGTCACAAAAGCCTGAATGTCTAAAAACTAAAAATAATTCAAAAGACTAAAAAAAATATATATATTTTATATTATTCGTATGTGTATAAATAACTTAATAATAATAATAATAATGACTTCCAGCATTTACAGTTTTAAGATTCATGTGATTTTTCTGGAATACAACTCTCAAGAATGTTAAGGGAAAACTGTATTAAATAAATGGCAATCAATACAAAATAAAATTCCCCAAAAACATAAATGGACCTTTAATTAGTTATTATTTTCAGCAAAATATTTATAACCATCTTTTAAAAAAAACTATTTAACATTAATAATACAGTAAATGTTAGTCTCTAACCTACATACTGAATTTTTGAAAAAATATATTTATTGAAATTTATAAGATCTACCTAAAAATACAACTAGTAAATTTGAATTAGCAACGTGACATGTACAACTTGAAGAAAAACTACATATTGGTAGTACTCCGATACTGAAATATTAAAAAAAAAAAAACTATCAATAAATTAAAAACAATATCACAACAAAATTTAATAAAAGTCATTTGCTAGGAAATCATCATTTGTTATGAGAAAAAAAGGAATTTAAAATAGTTAAATATCTTTTAATATTTAAAAAAATACACATATTTCACACAGAAACAATTATTTCTACCTTAAGCACTGTTGTTCACTTCTAACAATGCCAGAAAACTTTTAATATTTGTAATTACTAATTAATTTTTATTTCATTCTCATGAATTATAAATAATACAGCATGAATTTTTAATAGCTGGTATAATTATATGTAGATCTATTTATTGGGTTTGTTTTTCAGTGGTCTCAGCTATTTTGGTCAAATAGTTTATACTAAACTGGCAACATGTCAATGTATGAAACTAACTGCATAGTTTCTTTAAAGGAATTTGACTCGATGCTCCAAATTACCTTTTCTTACTGCTCTTACGTGATTAGATAAATTATTCATAAATAAAAAATATTATAATTAAATTTTTTAACACCATAATTTTATTAAGTATAATGCAATTTGATTCATTCATCATATTTATCTTTCATTTACAAGACACAAAGACAACAAAATAGTTCACAATAATTGAGTGATGGAAAATATAAAAATTTAATATCAATGCTTTTAAATCTCTAGATATTATGAAAAATTTCATCAATAGATACTTCAGACGGAAAATTTTAATTTTTAAAAACTAATAAAGGATAAATATATTTTTTTTATTATTATATTATCATTAGAAAACATATATTTTTGTTCAATAAGGAAATATATGTTATTATTCTTAGAGGAAAAAAACTTAATTCATATTATTTTGAACATCAAACAAATTCAAATGATCAAGAAAATGCAGAAATAACACAAAACTTAAAATAAAAATTGGATTAATCATCTTAACAAACAAAATGTGGTAACTATAAAATTTTATTTAATTACCCTCAGGAGCAAAACTATGAGGTAAAAATTACAGGGACTACAAAAAAACGTTTTATCTAAGATGCAATGAACTTAACGTTTAGTTCCTAGCTTTGTTTTGATTATTTTATGGAAAGTGTTTTCGACATTTCCAAAATCTTAAAGTTGAAATATTTCTAAGACCATCCCTTTATTATTATGGGCCCTTCAGAGCAGCTTGAAAATAAACCTACTACCTTTTACCTTTAAATTTTTTAAGTATCCAAATAAAAAAATCTTGGTACTTTTTACTGTAATATATTATTAATAGATAATTTATTGGTGAAATGTACATAAGAAATTACAATGCATAAAAGTTATAAATTATAAATTTATAAGTTATAAATTATAAAAGTCATAAAAGTTATAGTCATAGTTAAAACATTCCAATAGTTGATGAAATTAATTTTAAAAAGTTAAGATATAAAACCTAAATTATTCTAGTGCAAGAATAGTAATTAATTAATTTATTGCAAAATCTTTAAATAAAGCTTATCTTTTTAATGAATAATTTTAATTTTGTAAAAACTGCCCACCAAGTTCCGATGGAGCGAAGTACCCTTACTCCATCATCATAGCCAAGACTTCCGTCATCTGCAACCATAGTAAATGTGTTGGCATCTTGTGTTTTCGGTTGGGATTGTGGCTGAGGTACCTGAGGGACTTTAAGAGTCGGCACATATTCTAACTTAACAGTATGTTGCTGCGGTTGTTGTTGCTGCTGCTGTTGTTGTTGTTGCTGTTGTTGTTGCTGCTGCTGCTGTTGAAGGCTAGCAGCATGTGCCATTTGTTGTTGCATTACAGCATGTGCCTCTAGATAGGCCGCTTTCTGTGCATCTGTCATTTTATCCATCTGTAATGAATAAGGTAAATAATTAAAACCGATAAAAATTAGAACACTAGCAACAAGAGGTAGAGTGCTTCAATACACTAAAATAAGAACTATAATTTATACCTGATTAACGTTATCTTTTATCTGTATAAGATACATTTTTTAGTATTATTGAAGAAATCCAACTTCAAAGATATCTGAAAATAATAAATTTTATAGAAATAAAAAATCGTAAATTATTATCTAATTGTAAAGTATGTTTATGACTATTTTGACTGCATTTGGTAAGATTATTATAATTAACGGGTAAATGACAACTCAAAAAAAGTTAATATTGAATAATTATTATCATTACTACTTAAACTGAATTCATAAGTGAATTCCAGGTCTTGAAATTAGCTTCAGAAGACAAAACAGATCGAAACTAAACACGCCGGCAAGAGCGATGCCAAACTTTGTTTATGCGTGAATATATATATGTATATACAGTGATAGGATGGAGGTAAATAAAAGTTGCCAAACGATGCTAACAGTTTACAAGAGGCTATAAAACTAAATTCGTAGAAAAAAAGCTTCAGTTTTTGGATCGAGAGGAAGACTCACCTTACCAAAGTTGGATAGGCGTCCGAAGCGAGTTAAAGGAACTTAAAAAATTATAAACATCTATTATAAGGAAGGTATAATAAAACAAAAAGACAAAGCAAAACTAAGCAGATCAATACAAACAGCCGCCTCTGAGAGGGGGGTTCGGCGATTGAAGGGAGGGGGCGGTTGGAGGGGAGGAGGGGTGTGGCTTCGATCCGCTGCTTATCTCTTTGTACTGTTCGGTATTAACTGGAGATTAGATTTTTAATGTTGGGCTCATTACAGGCTAACGCGGTTTGGCAAAATTATGTTTTACAAAAACTGAAAATAATAAATGAAAGTATATATTTATGCCATTTAATGATTAAAAATTATAACCTTTAAAAAAAAAAAAGAAAAGAAAAACCAAAAAAACAGTTAGGAATATTATCTCTTATTAAAGCCACCAAAAATGAGTTCACAAGTCTACATAAATCACATGGTCTTATAACTTTTTTTTTTTTTAATTTTATAATGCAGGTTAAATTCACTTCAAGGAAATATCATATTCTTTAATTTGGAAATTAAATATTCTTCCACATATCCTTTTACTTTTTCATTAATTAAAGAACTTCCATATAACATATGAGGTGTTCTTCAATACCTTTTACAACTATAATTACTACAATTATAAGTAATTCCTAATTAAATTTATATTTACTATTTCTAATTTTTTCAAGCTAGGTTATGATTTTTTAATATCATGATAGTTTTAATTTTTTCATCGATTTATTATAGATTTGAGATAGCTCCCTTTAAATAACATGAAAATTTTGATACTTGCTTATTTGTAGTATTACCTTCACCTAAAAATTCCTCTTCAATTGGCACTTGATTCATTTAGAGCTTTGACTTGCTCACTCAACAATCCTCTAATATTCCTGATAATAAGCTTATCTTCTCTGTCTTTCAACTAAGGTATAATAATGCAATTCATTGAAGTTTTTTTTTAATGATTGCAGTTCAATGGTAATTGCTTGGGTTGATATTACATTTTTATGCACTCCATCTTTTGTCATTTAATTTACTTATTCTCACTCAAGAACCTACCCCCTCCCCCTCCCAAGAAATTTGATTGCTCATATTTTCATACAAACAGAGCAAGGGAAAGTAGAATTAGAAAAATCATAGATCATACACAATTACACTTGCTGCAGTGTGTTCCACGTTTTCTCCTTTCTCCTTATTCTGAAACTTTTCATTCCGAAAATTCATAACCGTGTTGAAATCCTTTCCCGAAATTCAAAAATCTGTCAAAATATGCTCCCCTTAAAAAGTTTAAAAGTTTGATGGCGCAACTTGTACCCCTGCTGATTCTTACTTTTATTATACATACCAGCAAGAGAAATACTTTATAGAGTATAGTAATAGAGGGGAAGAGAAATACTTTATTCAAAGCACAGGATTGCTTTATATACAGCATACTTATCAATCCCTTTTGGACATATCAATTACATTACATTTTAATATATTTTTTTCCTTCTGTTTCTTATCAATAATCATACAAAAGATCATTAATTTACTACACTAAGACATCATTATTACACAATATATATTTTTTTTTAAATATATATTTCGAATATCAGCCAACATAATTTTGTGAATGTAAATAAAAAGATATGACTAGAGTAAATATTAAAATTGAAAAATAAATAAATGATAATAAATATCCTTATTTAATGGTGTTACCATATAAGTGTTAGTGAATGAACCCCAGGGGGTCCAGAATAATGTTCTAGGCGAACATCGCAGACTTTTTTTTTGGAATCGTTCTGTGAGACCCTAAACTAGAGGCCTTTAGGACTAGAGATCTCTCTCTCCCTCCCCTTCTTCTTCACTCTCTCTCTCTCCCCCTCAAACAAAGTTGTGATAGTATCACTTACATTGTAAAATTATCTGACTTTCAGTGTTTTTGAATAATATCTCTTGACTACCCAAGAAAGAATTTGCTTATTTCACTTTTTCATAGCTGAAGCCTTCTCAGAGTTGAGAATCTTAATAACTTCATACAGCAGACTCTTACTAATCTGGCCTTAAATTGAAGTAGGTGGTGTCAGCTAATCAAAATTGCCAGAACAGTGAAGGTATTTTTGAAAAGCAAAAACATGGCATATCTACAAAAGTTGTTTAAAATATTTTATTGAAATAAATGATGGTACTTTGTACTGTAAAAAAAAAATCACTATAATACTAAAAGGTATTTACATAAGTTATAAAGATACAACTTACAAGATAAAAAACTAAGCACACATTCATATATTTTATACCCTATAAATTATTATTCAATAATTGGTGTGGGAAGTATACTGCTGCTTGTTTATCAAAATTTGTAATGTTATGAAGTTGTGTTCTGTAATGTTAGGAGTATGTGCTTTGACCATTTGTGTGTGTACCGTTTCAGCGATTTCTTGTTGTAGTTTCCTATTGTTTGGATCATGGGATTATCAGATATTGTTGTAAGCTCAAAGAATCTTTGTGTTTTAAAATGAATGTATAGTTTTATTGTTGGTAGCTGCAATTCTGTTAACATAGTGACTATGTTTGTGTATCATGGGTAGTTATTTATGATTCTCATGCATATGATTTGAATCACTTCAAGTTTTTTATAGTTAGACTTAAAGTACAACTCCATATCGGGGAAGAATATGTGATTTTATATGTAATTATAAAATCAGTTTATTTTTTGAAGATAATTAAGAATATCTATAGAAATACGGGGACATTTTACTAACAATGTTTTTTTCTTTATTGCATTTGTTATTTACATACTGGGTGAAATAAAAATATACTTAGAATAAATCATTAAATACCAATAGATTAAACCATTATTAATATAAATTTCAAATTTGTACTAAAATATGGGCCCTGAAAATATTTGTTTACATAAAAAAAAGTCTTAACCAATTCAAACTAGCACAAAAGGTGTTTTGTTTTTTCGTAGCTCTTTTAAAAAATAATTTTGCACTTACTATAAGAATGAAAAGCCGGAAATAACCCTTGGCATGAAAAAACGGACCGAAATCGGATACTGGAATGTTAGGACGAAGTATGAAACTGGAAAATTTGAAGTTTTCAGAAGAGAAATTGCCAGATACAGATTAGAATTGTTGAGAATAAGTGAAACCAGATGGACTGGCTTTGGAGAAAAGAGATTAAGGCATGGATATACACTAATTTATTCTGGAAAGGAAGAAGGTGAAACACATGAAAGAGGAGTTGGACTGATGATGACTAAACAGACTAAGAAAGAGCATACTAATTGGTACTCTGTTTCTGAAAGGGTTCTTGTCGTGAGGTTCAAGTCGAGGGTAAGGCACATATCGATAATAGTGTGTTATGCGCCCATGGAAACATAGGAGGATGCAGAGGACAGATTTTACCAGTAGCTTAATCATATGATGGCATCATTTATTAAGAAAGGAGACATAAAGATTCTGATGAGAGATTTAAGTGCTAAAGTCAGAAACAACAATCCAGATAGAGAATCAAATATGGGAATCCACGGTCTTTGTAATATGAATGACAATGGCGAGAGGTTTCCAGATTTCTGTTATAAACATAAACTTATTATAGGAGACATTATTTTTCCACACAGAAACTGCGATAAGGTAACCTGGGTATCGCCAGATAAGAATACAGAAAATCAAATCGACCATCTGTGCACAAACCGAACCTGGAGGAAGTTGCTGCTGAATGTCCGTAACAGGCGAGGAGCCGATGTGTCTAGGGACTACCATTTGATTACAGCAGTAATCCAGTTTAAAATAGCAACAAACAAGAAACCATTCAGATGTGTACAGAAAAGATGGAATACAAGTAACCTGAAAGACGACACTCCGACTCCTTACACTAATGATGATGAGGTCCAAGAAAGAAGAAAAGAAGCAATCAAAAGAAGATGAAATATGAAGAATGTCATGCATGACACTGCAAAGGAAGTTCTTGGTGTGAAAGAGGGAAACAAGCCTGATTGAATCTCAAGCGCAACCTGGGATGCTATTTTGTATTTGAGAGGGAAAAAAGAAGCCTTAAAGAAAAGCAGAACCAGAGACCAAAAAGAAGAAGGGAGCAAAGAGGAACTTTATTAATGACCTATTAAAGCTCAAGAAGCAGCTGATAAGGGTGAAGACACTGTATAGTATGACAGAAACCCTTTGAAAGAAGCAATGTTTTGCAGACAATAGGCCTGTCAGAAATAAACAAGGGAAACTGCTTGTAACAGAGGATGAACAGATCAAGAGATGGAGACCCTAAACCATACTATGGAGGATGAAGTATTAGGCGAAGATATCTCAGAACGCAACTTCAAAAAAGAAAATTACATTGATTCCAATGCTCCTACAGAACAGGAAGTTTTGGAAGCTATCCATAAACTCAAAAATGGAAAAGCAGATTGGATGGACAACATACCGGCAGAAATTCTGCAAGTAGATCCAGTAAAAAAATCCAGAAAAATGGGTTACTCGTTAAACTTCCTAAGAAAGGCAATCTCGCGGAATATTCAAACTGGAGAGGAATAATACTGACATCGGTTCCAAGCAAGATATTGTGCAAAATTGTTCTCGACAGGAATAGGGAGGCTGTTAATAGTAAATTAACACCCTCAGGATTACAGTTGAACAATTTTTGGAGTTCCAGGCAACTCTGTATCTCACCTTCATAGATTTTGAAAAAGCTCTTAACAGTGTGTCATGAAAGAAAATGTGGTAAGTTATAAAAGAATTTGGAATATCATTAGGAATTATTGGAGTAAAATTAAGGAAAATCATTAATATTGTCAAGAAACCATATGAGGATTCCTCCTGCCAAGTTATCCATTGTGGCAGTGTCGGAGCCCTTTAATGTTGGAACTGGTATTAGACAAGGATGTGTTCTCTGCTCTATCATATTTCTGATGGTACTAGATGTCATTTTAAGGAAAGCTCTTCGTAGAGAATGAGGATTTCAGTGGTGGCTCACGGAAAGACTCAAAGATCTGGACTTTACAGATGACTTATGTTATTTCGCCCAAGTTTCCAGGATATGCAGAAGCTAAAGGAACTCCAGGAAGAAGCTCAAAGCCCCGGCCTCAAAATAAATGCTGCTAAAACTCAAGAGATGCGAATGAATAGAAGTCAGGAAAATTTTTTTATAGAAGATGAAATAATTGAAAGCGCTACCGAATTCTGTTACCTCAGGAGTATGGTGAGCCAGGATGGAGGGGCTGATGAAGATGTTGAGAACCATATAAGGAAAGTCCAAAAAGCATTTTCACAGCTTTGCATCTTCAAGACAAATGTTATGTAAGTTCTGCTATATGCTTGTGAGACTTGGAAAGTTATCAAGCAGGTGAACAAGAGGCTGCGATATATATGCGATATGTCAATAGATGTCTGCGATATATATTAAGAGTATGGTGTCTACTAGTGAACTAATCAAGTCCCGATAGATCAGGTCATAAAACATAGGAAATGGAGATGGCTGGAGCATACGCTTAGAAAGGAGCAAAATGATATAACACAGTCTAGATCGGAACCCCCAAGGCCAGCGAAGACGTGGACGGCCTAGAGAAACGTGCAGGACTTTAGAGAAGGAAATGCGCAGCACCAGACAAACCTGGTCTGGAGTCAAGAAGCTAACTAAAGATCAAAATATTCCTGACGGCCCTATGTTGCACCTAAGGGATTCTAAGAACTAATAATAATAATAATAATAAAAGGCTTAGCGAAACCAAAGGTTCAATGCCGACCCACCAATCTCTTATTACACACTCTTCAGATCAGCTTTAGGCAATCTTCTCATCTTCAATTCTGTCTACCCCTCGGACATTTACTATTCGGTACAGCAAATATAAGTCTTTTAGGAATTCTTTCGTTCCTGGCCCAACAATTTTACAAGCCCATTTGATTCGCCTCAATTATATTAACCCGATACAGTTTATGCAATTCAGTGTTATATGACCGTGTGAACTTTCTGGTTAACTCATCCTTCTTCGGTCTGAATATTCTACACAATACTTTATTTTCAAAAATCTTAAGACGTTAATCATCCCTTGATGTAAGCGGTCACGTTTCGCATCTATAAAGAACTGTAGGTAGGATAATAGTTTTATAGATTTTAATTTTTAAGTTCCGAGATAGAAGGTGCGAGCTAAGTAATTTTTTCACAGAAAAATAACAAGCATTTGCCGTCTTCAGCATAACCTTAATCTCCTCTACAATTTTGTTTTTTCTAAAATAATAATCTTAAATTTCTTTTTTGTTTTCCATCATTAATTTGACATGTTTACATTTTTGAAACATCACATCTCTCTTTTAAAATATTTTTACAGCAAAGAACATACGAAAGCCATAAACAGCACAAGATGGTCGTATATATGTAATATATTTTTTTTATTCTACTTAAAACTTATAAATACTTGCTTTCCTATAGCAACGATGCTTATATTGAATATAAATAATAATCAATAATAATTAAGGGTTGTTTAATCTTTAATAAAATTCAAGAGCTGATGATTAACATAAAAAGTAATATTTATTTGTATAAATCTTTATAGTTTTAAAGATTAAAAATTGTGAAAATAATAATAAAAGAATCATATAGTTTAATATAAAATATTTCAGTAATCACCATAGATAAATTTACAAGAATTCATACTTTCTCATTTGTTTTTTTAAAATACTATGTAACTAAATACATAATATTTAAAAACTAAACAAGTAAAGTTGTACATTAATATATTAAACCAATTATTAAAACAAAGTCTGTCACATTTATAAGCAATAAAAAAAAACATAAGAGAATACAACATTAATTATTTTAAAAAATTATATTTAAATCAAAGCAATTATTTACAAAGTTAACAAGTTCTAAGAAATAAAAGAATGGGAAGGTAAAAATAAAATCAATTTTTTAAAAATTTTATATTTGAAATACATGTTCAATAACAAACATGTCATCTCGTACAACTTTCTTTAGTGTGTACCACAAAACTAAAGTAATTAGGCTATAGTCGATGGAGCTCCTTTCTCCGAAGCACCAAGTCTCCTTGGGTCTTGGCTAGGATAATGAACAGCAGCTGCAGCAGCAGTACCAGGTGGAGCAATGGCAGATTCTGGCGGAAGAGGTGGTGCAGTACCAGGAGGGCAAAGAGGAGGAGGCTGTGGAGGGAACATAGGCATACGCATTTGAGGAGGAAAGAAAAAGGGTGGAGGCGCTATCGTAGGCCTGAGCACTGCTGTGGCTGCAGTTGGTGGTCTTACCGGCATGAACATAGGAGGTGGTTGCAGAATAGACGTACCAGCCAGATCCCCAGCGCTGGTAGATGCTGAAGGTGTAGTGCCACTGAGGTTGAAGAAATTATCCCGTAGTTCGACAGGAGGAGGTGGAAGAGGACCAGGAAGACCTGGGACAGGGTCATAGGTTTGTTCACCACTCGGTCCCTGGCGACCCTGTGATTTACCCCACTTTATGTTTAACCTACGCCCGCCCATAATTAGTTTGTTGAATGTTTTTTCAGCAGCCATTTCCGCAGGATGTCGGTTCACATACTGAATAAAAGCGCACATTTGTCTTGGAACCATAGTGATGGATCTGATTTCTCCATACTGATAAAAGTGATCCCTATGAAAAAAAAATACATTATAAGTTACAAAAAAGATTAATTTTTTTCATTTAATGTACACTAAGATTAAGTTTAAATTATTAATTGATAATTCAAGAAATTAAGTTTGGTAAATAAAATTAAGTCATTCAATTATTAATTATAATAGATAGTAAAATAACACATACCTCAATTCTTTTTCTCCAATTTTATCACTTAAATTACCCACATAAAGTGTGGTAATGCTCTTATCTTCAGGGGGTTCTAATTTTGGCATAGCAGAAGCCCTTCGCATTAGTTTATGTGCTACTGGATCATTAACACCATAATACCTAAATTATAAGATGTTAAAAAAAAAATTAGTCAATTTAAAACACTTTTAGTTTAAGTTTTTGTAATAATTTGATGATTAAGCAATTTTAGTTTTTTTAATAATTTATGTATATAGACATTTCTTTCTCTATTACTATAATTGTACACCTTTTAAAAAGTAATGCGAACATTGAGAAACCGTTTCTCAATTAAAACATATTATTCCTATGTGGTTTGATTCCAATGGGCTGGAATTGCTACTGGTGAGGGAAACTAGACCAATAAGTGGACTTCTGATCTTGAGGCTACCCAAAAAAGGTTGCTGCCTGTACTAACCAGATTAGCAATATTAAGATACATTTTTTGAGGCCTCAATAAAATAAATATTAACTGATAGGTGAAAATTAAACCAATATTTCAAACCGGGCATTTTGGAGCACGTTGATGGACAAAATGTCTATCCATAAAGCACCATGTGTAACTGTTTAAAGAGCAATTCTAATGCTTTAGATCAGGGATATCCAAACTATGGCTAGCGGACCACAAGCACTTCCAGTCTAGCGTGTGAAAGTTTCATTGATTACGTGGTAAAGTTTAAAAATCTATTGAAAAAATAAGAAATTTAGCAAGGCGGTACTCGTACAAGAGGTCACTACAACATTTATTGCGTCGATTTTTTCTCTTAGAAAGCTGTGGCACGTAGGACTTAGTGGAGGTCTTAATATGGCCCACAGATCAAAGTTTGGAGATCCTTGCTTTAGTCTGTGTAAATCTAACAATATCCATACACAACATTAGAGCATCATGCTTCTTTTAAGGAATGAATGGAATGGTGAAATTAAAGGAATTATTTCCTTCACTATTAATCGCACTTAATCGCTAGATTATTAAGAATAGATAGAACTTAGAATAGAAAATATTTTAATTTCTAAAAGGTAAGGTCAGGTGACTACAAAATTATTTGCAACAAATTAATGTAATGTTATCACAAAAGTACATCTACTCAAAATGATGTAATGAGCTAAAGTCTATCCCTCAATTTATAAATTGATTAGTTTAGACTAGAGTTCTTCAAACTATTGCCCATGAAAGTTTGTTTGATTACATAGTAAAATTTTAAAACTAATTAAAAATACAAATTTAATAAATAAATCAAACATGAGGTTACTATGACTTTTATTGCATGAGTTGTATTTCTTAGAAAGCTCATTTCACTACTGAAATGTCAATTATAGAAAAAGATTTTGTTTTCATCACAAGCTTTGGCCTCAATGTGGCCCACAGGCAAAACAGTATGAAGACCCCTGGATTTAGACTACGTAAATATCTGTTTATAATTGTTTGTGTAACATATAGCAACATGTTAAACACCAAACCTTGTAAGTTTTTCTTTTTCTTTTTAACCTTGTAAGTTATCAGTATAAGTATTCTTTCAAGACGAAACATAAATTTAACACAAATAATGAAATAATATTATACCTGTCTTTTATATTCTGATCCGCAAGAGGATCGTCAGGATCTGTTGGGGTCTCATGCCTATAAGGACATTCCTCACCTCGATGGCACTCACCCTTCACCCAAAACGAACAGATGTGTGGCCTATTCCTCTTGTAATATGGCGTTGTCCTCGCTAGCTTCAAGAGAATATCACTAGCAGCCTGGCTTTTACCAAGCTGTCCACCAGGAATCGTTTTATCCAGCTTATTTATCTGAAATAGAGAGAATTACTTTATTTTCATAAAAGGGTGTTGCCCAATTATATTGGGTTGCTAAAAAAAAATTATTGTATAAAATAATACAAATAAAATAAAGTTCTACTAATCTCACAAAATATTGATCACGACACAAATGCACTCAAGGAAGAATGGGATGAAACACAAAGTAGAAGCAAAATTGGGGAAAAGTTGTCGGGTTAGTTTCTTCTTTATCTGCATTTTAGAGACACAAGACTGTGAAGTTGGATTTTTTCAATGATAACATTACATTTAATTTATGTCTCCAGTTGAGTTTTTGTCATTTATATTAAATTATTTTATTTTATGAACCTTATAAATTTATTGGTTGTTAATACCAACATAGCAATTGTGAACTTCTTATCCAGGTCTGACTTCTATATCCCACTCTTTATAAGAAAGAGAACCACAAAACAAGGACCCTGTTTTCTGCCAAGCCAATAGGTCTGGACGAGTACAATACTTGATGAGTATGGTTAACTTAGTCTTAGTCTGGTTAACTGACCGTACATTTTTCAGTAAGGAATAAAACTTCTGAAAAAATTATAGAATCGATCTGTCCTTCTAGAACTACTGCATTGTAAACTTGCCTTGATAATACCTCATATAATTGGGTTGAAATGTAAACAATAAAACTTTCTAGAAAAAAACGACTAGACTCTGTCATTATTTATGGCCCAAAATATTTGCCAATGTTTTGAGCTCAAATTGTTTCTAAATTATTTAATAAATTCCATAATTTAATACATTTTATAAAATATTTTCACTATCAATATAATGACAGTTCATCATATTCGATGTTATATTAAGCAACTAAAGTTAACAAATTCCATAGTGTTTCTACAGACAAGATATATAACATAAACAATTTATTTTCTATAAGATTAAAAATATATAATAACATACCTCTGCATCAATATTTTGTATGTAGTATTCTTTATTTACTTCTGACCTAGGTAAATCGTCTTTAATTTTCAAAGCAGCATCGCGAACTTGAATTGGGAGACCATATTCCAAATCAAGAAGGCATGTTTGGCATACATTTTTCATTCTACTGCAAGTTTGACAAACTTCGGTTTTCTTATACCTCATACGAGCACCTGGGCACCAGCGAAAAACAGTAAAAGGTCGAGAACAGATTTTACATTCTTTCCCATACCTTTCTTTAGACTAAAAAAAATATTAATAAATTAAAAGCTGATTATTAGTGTAGATAAATAAATCAATAGAAAACAAGTTAATGGATAGATTACAGTACATTTTTGTAAGACTAAGAAAAAGAATATGTCATAAATTAAATTTATTAGGTTACTACAAAACATAAACATCATAAGCATGGTAGAATTAATGTCAAACTGAAGTTCATCAGCCAATCCCATTTTAAAATAATTGGTAATTGGTTGACTATCGTGGATAATGAAGAGAAGAATAGTTGGGGTGGTCAGGAAAAAGGAAGGCAAAAATAAATGATATTTATTTTTTACATATGCCAACGTTTCGACCTGAAGTTCAGACCTTCATCAGGGATAAGAAAATAACCAGATAACAAGGTATGAGAAACATAAGTAATGATGGTAAAAAAGATAATAAAAAATAAAAAAAAAATAAAATAAAAAAATTAGAAAAATAAAATAGATAAATATAAAGTAAAATGAAATTGTTAGAATAATGACTAAGAACTAAGAGATAAATAATAAAAACCGTTACAAAGTGTGGAATGATGAAGTAGGCATAATCAAAAAGGGTGACAAAAATGTTACAATGGGAATCTTAGAATAAAATGTAAAACATAAAAAAGAAATATGAAGTTATATGAAGAAATATGAAGTTTTTACATTTTATTCTAAGATTCCCATTGTAACATTTTTGTCACCCTTTTTGACTATGCCTACTTCATCATTCCACACTTTGTAACGGTTTTTATTATTTATCTCTTAGTTCTTAGTCATTATTCTAACAATTTCATTTTACTTTATATTTATCTATTTTATTTTTCTAATTTTTTTATTTTCTTTTTTTATTATCTTTTTTACCATCATTACTTATGTTTCTCATACCTTGTTATCTGGTTATTTTCTTAGCCCTGATGAAGGCCTGAACTTCAGGTCGAAACGTCTTCAATCCCATTTTAATATTTGAATTAAAAGAAACAGTCAATAGGTTAATACAAATATTTTTTGGTGATTATACATTTGAAAAACATTAGACACATGTGTCAGTGTTCAATCCTATGGATCTAAGAAGCCGAGAAAATAAAATTTATATAATTTCAAAAATAATTGATGTTATTTCTGTTTACCTTTGTTTTGTCCAGATTTTTAGGTTATTATTAATCAATCAATGTATTATATTTTTTTTGTGTAGAAGAAAATAATTCTTAAAAGTGTATAAAATCGGTTATACTATTTCATAAATCACAGAAAACGCTTTTATCAAAGTAGGCCAAGTTAATTACTGTTATGAAAAAGCAAGTTAAATTTGTTTTTAGTGTCCTTTAAAACTCTATAATGAATTCTAAGAACTTTTATAGAAATAAAAAATTCAAGCTTTAGTAGTACTTGACTTCACATTCATTGTGAGTTATGAAGTTTATTCACTGATATAGGACCCCAAAATTATGTACAATTAACAATATAGATTTAGCCAAAAGATGATTTTAATGTGATTGGAAGGTAAGTTAAAATTACGAAACATGAATATAATATAATGGCTGAGACCTGATTATATATTCCATACAATATATGTACCAGATGAAATATATAACATATATTTCAGATTATATATTTAACTTTAAATCTAAATTATTTTATTCTCAAATAAATCATTAGATTTCAAAAAATTTCATCTGAAATAAGAATCCAATATATTTTTAATTAAAACTCGAAACCAACGGTTGAATATAACATACAGAACTATTAGTCTAAGAAATAAAACATAATCCACAACAATTTTCATAATCTCCATAATTGTTTATGTAAATTTCAATTGGAAAAATACAAGGAGTAAAACGTTGCTTGAGTATCATTTTCAATAGTAAATCATTGGCATCACCACTTCTTTTCAAAAATAATAGATGAATAGCTTTTAGAGAAGTCAGCTTGATATATTGTTAATGTTTATGATTGTAATAAAATGCAATAAATTAAATTAACAAATATATAACAAGCAGTGATGTCACTAATATTTGATTTGATATATTGAGAGCAGATCACCTACCACTGGATTAGTTAATTCATTACTTTGCTTATGAAGAGATTAATAAAAATATATCATTAGACCTTATTATTACCTAATTATTATGAAATTAGACCCTTCATGGGTTGTAGTGGTATAGGTTATTTCTTATTCCAACATCAAATCATTATTTTAAAGATAAAAATCATTATCTCAATGAAATGAATATAGGTATAATTCAACTTAAAAATATAAATTAAGTACTTACCATTCTAATGTAAGGATTGTCACCCAGACAAGTTTGACAAAGTATTGGGAATTCCTAAAAAAAAAAAAAAAAAAAAATCAAACACATCTATTTAGCAATGTAAAAATAACCAAACCACATTAAAAGTAAAAAAATTAAACGGATTTCTTAATTACTCAAAATGATTAGTTGAATAACCAACACCCAACATAGGGAATATAAGGTTAACTTAGATAGAATATAAATTTATACTTACTGAATCTTCCCAGTTTTGCCTGTTATAAGTATTGGTTGATTTAGAAGTAGCCATTCTAAATTTCTTCTAAATTTTTTTCTTCTAAGTTCAATTAAGATAAATTACCATCAACATTCAACCCAACAAACATCAATTCTGTGAACGAATGATATCTAACCGAAATAAACACGCCCATAGAGGTAACGCAAATTGGAATAACATATAGCATAGAAATAGGAAGAAGAAAGTTAAATCATTAATTTGGTTAAACACATTTACACACTCCAATTTAAACAGAATGGGATGATTTTCCAGCGAATTAGTTTATAAAAGTGCTTTTTATTAATGTTATGAATAACAAAACTTTTTGAAATCATAAAATAAGATTACACACAATTTTCTAAACTCAGCGCTCAGCTCATCGATGGCATCGGATCCGTCCTCAAAACTAGGTATAATGATCCCATCGTTGAGCTCATCGCTGAGTTTAGGAACTTGTCCTTACGTTGGCTTTGGTAGGTCGATTGATCCGCTGAATGTAACCTCATCATACTTTCTCTGTTATTAATTCTCAATTTACTTTTGATATTTATATTCAGTTAATTCTCTATCTATATTTATTTCTATTTATTTGGAATTTAACAATTCATGACATACAATTGATTCCATTGGAATCCATCAGATCGGGTCCCAAGTTCCTAAACTCAATGCTGATCTCATTGAAGGGCATCAGAAATTCATCAGGCCGTTCCTAAACTTATTAATTGGTACATCAATGGAATTTTGCGTTCCTTTGTTCATTAATTGAATCATCGATAGCTTAGCGGTTTCATGGTTGATCAATAGATCCGCTAGACTTAACCTAAGTGTTGTTATTTTTTAATTTAATTTACTTATTTATATTGAGTTTACTTTTTTTTATCACTCATATTATATTGCTTGTGATAGATGTACCTATGAATTCCGTCCCGGTAATATTAAAATGGCTGGCAAAAACTATTGGATCTATTGGCATAAAACTTACCCTACATTAAATATAATGGTAGGACACATATCATAAACTAATATTTCCCCTTAACACTGTTAGGGTATTTTTTTTTCCATATTCCTACATCACCATTAATGACATAGGGTTGATTGTTCTAGAGGTACAACCAAACCTATACTAACCAGAGTGAGAAAGTCGATACTTATTCCATTGTCCGCCCCCAAATAAATTTTAACCCGCTCAGGCAGGATTGGAACCGGCGTACACTGGAGCGAACTAACGCTATGGTTAAACATTGGAAGAAAAAACAAAAGTTACAATTCGGAAGTTTTACGGCATTGAAGACAAATTAACATCGTTTTTCTTTCAGCTCTAGTAAGTTTTAACTTAATTATCGCATTAATAATTCACTGATGTGAGATAATAGGTGAAGAAACGAAAACCACCATTTTTATATTTAGAACTGGTTTGCCAGTATCTTTTGTTCAAACCTAACGGTATGTGCTGGGCAGAATTCTTATGAATCCTAAGACAGCTGAATCATCGGTTTTTAAATAAATGCATAGCTGATACAACATTGGTAGGAATATCGAAGAAAAAAAGTTAAAGTTTACGCTTCACCACGCTCGGCCATCTCTGCTTCAACTCTGTTAGCAGCTGTACATTATAGTCGTGAAGGAATATTATTTGTCTTCAAGGGTACCTATTTTCCCCACCCCTTTCTAGTACGAACGTTGGTGCCTCAGCTCAGATAATGTATTGCTCTACTCTTCTTAAAAATGGTAAAACTAAAAGTAGAATTATAAAAATAGTAGTTTATTTGCAATTCTTACAGTTTATTTACAATTCTTGCTGTGGTCTGGTCCACGTTCTCACTTTTGTTCACCAATTAGAATGTTCCCCCAAATTAAAACTTCTCAACAATATGGTTTCCTCGAAAAATTTATACACCCCATAAAAATATATCCCTTTAAACTTAAATAGAGCAACTTGCGGCATGCCACTCTCTTCTGGGCACTCCTGCACGGCTAACGCAAAAGGCTTTCAGTGGTTCTTTATTGATATAGCATGGAAATCGTAGTATTAAATAATTGGCTTAACTTTTAAATTAAATGATATTTCATCATTATTAAATGAGATTTAATTCAATCATAATTATTTTTGAAGATTGAATTTGATGGAGCTCTCATTAGCAACTTCTTATTGATAATTTTAGACGCGATTTATTTTTCCTTATATGAAATGAAAAATAATTTTATTCTGGGACTGAAGTCCCCTTAATTATTTTATGCTGTAGTTTTAAGCTATAAATAAAGCAATTATAGTCCAGAGATCACCAAATTATGATACGCCTACTTCTGGTAATAAACAAACAGGTACTACGTGAACAAAAAAAGGTCAGGATGAAAATTTCCACTTAATAATTTAAATCCAATTTTAAAATATTTTGTCTGTTAAATAAACATTTGTAAATAGGTTATATACTATTTTTATTATAATTAACATCATAAGATCAAATAGTGGTGGATAACGCTGTTATCTGGAAAATAGAAGTAGTTTGACGCGACATACAGTCTAGAAACACCTCCTGTAGATCAAAAGTAATAATGGACCATGTACTATTTGGTATCCAAAGTAATTTACTATTGTACAATTCTGTTGTATATGATTAGCCACCATGGCGTGTTTCAAACCATACTTAACCAAGAACAATTCTTTAAACTACGTTTAAACATTTAATATTATCGAATACTTAATAGTTGACCGTTGCATTATAAAGGAAGGAGATGGTCCGGGGTTGAGGTCATAAATAGGCTAAATAGTGGTAAAACTATTTTATTAGCCAGTTCTAAGTGAAACTCCTAGATGAACACACCCTAGTTCTAAGTGAAAATCCTAGATGAACACACCTCCCTGATGAAGACCTGCAAAGTCGGGTCGAAACGTTGGCTTTCAATAAAATAGTTTTACCACTATTTAGCCTATTTATGACCGCAACCCCGGACCATCTCCTTCCTTTATTTAATATTATCCTACTAAGAGCTCAAGAACAAATATTTCATTTTATTTTGTTGAATAAAGTTTATTATTAATACGGTTTATTGTTTCAATAGAGACTGTATAACATAGTTCTAGTTGCCAAGGTTTTGCTTCTACTTTTGGCATTCTTGAACCATACTCTTGGGTTCAAAGTTGACAAACTCTTGGGACTGTGATACTTGTGTGGACTGGGATATTATAGTTCACAAACTGTTGGGACTGAGGAAATATCCCAAAATGGGATATTTCCTCTGTTTTATTATTTCAGAGAGGTAATGCATATTTTAAACTGATTCACCATCAACTGATATCTCATTTGTACCAGTGTCTTTAGAATAACTATATCAAAGGAGAACTATCAAAAATAATAATTCCAACCTATAAGGTATAAAAGATTTTATTAAAGAAAATTAATAGGAAATGAAAATGAAGTTTTGATTTTAAAATGATGAAATCAGAAATTGTTCTCACATGCATTAATATCATCATATGAAACTTCGATAACAAATAAGGTCTATGCCATTACTTCGCCTTCGATCTCTAATTTTTAAATATCGTTCAAAGTTGATCGATCACACGTTGTTAGGAAGTATTGATGCCTGATTATTTTTTGAATTAACAGATTTATTTGTTAATTGACTCCTTAAAAGTAATCATGAATAATGAAACCAAAGAAAGACTAAATGCTGTGTTAGGTTTAGTAAGAACCGTATTTCAGTGGGGTTATATTCCTGCTATTATTTATTTAGGTAAGTCTCTGTCTGTCACTATTCAATCAGTTTCACATTTTAAATTCAAGTAAAAATAATTTTAATATCCTTTTTGTAATTTATTTCTGTGAAGTTTGTGATGTGTCACAGCTTAGGTTCTGCTACTCAGAGGATTCCAAAACTTAGTGTAGTATAATGAGGAGAATGGAATTTGAAATGTAATTTAGAAATTTACCCATTATTTTTAAGATTTTTATTATATGTTTTACCATGTAGAATGTAGAATAACATTTTAACCTCTTATTTATTAGTTATTGTAGCTTCAGAAAGTGATATTTTAGATTTAACTCATGAATCTTACTCTTCTTGGCTTACACATTCATTTTGCATTTTATAATAGAATATAAAGTAAAGATTTCACTTAATTAGTAGTGTATGATACAGTAAAATATAGAGGGTTAGAGTCGTTATAGGAAAAAATTCTATTTTTTTATCTTTGACGTTATCTATTTGTGAATAATAAATCATTGTTTAATTTGTACAATTCCTAATTTAAACTTTGCGTAATTTGAAATTTTATGTCAGTTTATTACTGCACATTTGTAAAGTAATATTTATATAGTTTATTAGATATGCTTTTGTAATTTTGTTATCAGAGTTTACAGAAAATTTCTCGAAAGAGTTGGAAATCAGCTGGAAATTTCAAATAACCTAGTATTTAGACATCATGTTGATTAGACTTTTAGTTTATACTTATCAGATTTTTAAAAGAAACAGTAATATTTAAACTCCTTAACTTATATTTCGCTGATATATTTTATATAAAACAATCACCCAATTTAAATTGAAATACCAATTTTAATAAAAACACTAATAGGCATTAGTTCTTCTGCTTATAGCTTATTATTATTATAATTATAATTCTTATAATAATTATTCTGTAAATTTTTTGTTACAGGAATAAAAAAAGGTGCTGATCCTGGTTGTCCTGAAGTAAATATTTATAGGTAAACTTTTTTTTTTTTTGCATTAATATTTTAGACAAAATCCTATTTTTCCAGACATATATAGTTATTTAAGTATTAATTTTGTTTTTAATTAGATTATATCCTTCTCAATCTTGCTGTTTTACTGAATTAAGAATATTGAGTGTTGATCCCTTGAAATATTTCCTCCTCTCATTGCTAAACTGCTTACAGTATATCGTTAAACGTAGTGGATCCTCGACTTCATCACATATCTCACACTTTGGTGTCACCTTTATTTGTATCCAATTTAAGAATTTATTTGTATTTCTATGGATTGGTCCTTAGCATAATTACATTTGTCATCTCACTTCTTTGAAGCATATTCGGATATTAACAGGTTCTACACAAGTCCTCAGGTTCTACAAAAATGGTCCAGTCTATGTTTTTTGATGAAACCAACATCAAAGGGAGTACATTAATGAAATTTCCATTTCCAGAAGAAAAAAAAATTAAATAAACTATAAAGAGTCAATACTTACAAGATAAATAAAATCTGTTCGAATTAGTAATTTTTACTTTCACTTACCTATATATGTAATATTTAGTAAGGGTAAGTATTGCGTTCGTGAAAATTTTCGAATCTCAGTTTTCAACGGAAATACGTGTTTTGAGGTCCCCTGAGTTCAAATAACCAAGTGTCGCAAATGGTTTTTTAAAAGTTTATGGAATTTCCTAAAAAAAAAAAAAAATTTAAACAACTAAATCAAACCACCTGTTAAAAGATAATCATGGTACAGTCACCCACACACAATATGTTTTTTTTGGATTCAGAGGGCTGTAAACAAATCAAGGATTTGACCTGATTTATATACTCTCCTTACCTAGTAGGGATAGGAAAGTAAAGATTTAATTTTAACACTTACATTTTTATTTTGTAATAAGTTTTCCCTTTTGAGTTTTTGTATTATTCTATATTTATCTTATGTTGTGTTAATTCTAGTTCTTTAAAAAAAAATGTGAGTGTGGTTCTGGATTTAATCATTTCATTTGGTTTATTTTTCAGTGTACTGTGGCAATAAAATAATTAAATTTAAATTGCAACCCGTAATGGAATTCTTATGAAGAAGAAGAATAGTATATTGAAAAGTACAATTTCCCCATGTATTATAGCCCATATTTTCTAATAAAAAACAAAATGAATTGAAAAGGTCTTTTATTCATATATCCTTCTGTTTTTTTTTCTATTTTCTAGACGACTTTTGTTAAGAAAAAAATATTCAGTTGTGAAACTATAAAAGTCATGTGAAATACCATATTTTATTTTCTGCCCTATTAATGTTTAAATATATATACTTAACAGGCTGCTACCTATTCTTAGCTATCCAGATTTCTACCTTTTCAAAAATCCTCCTTAGAGTCAAACCATGAAAGCATTGGCTTCTACAGCTGCTTCTTATAGAAAAATCCAGTATGGCAAACCGTAAAAGTTTTTAGTATTCAGCATGTATCTTTTTTTTTTTTTAATAATTTATTTATTTATTTTATTTTATTTTTTGGTTTCTTAATAATTCATCCTTAATAGTTGAACTGTACTAAGTAAAAAGAAATATCTGATGGCTTAATCTTTTATAGAGCAAAATAACATCAATCCAAAATGAAAAATGTCAGGATATATATGTGGCTACGGCCTGATAAGGAATTAAAGAGAATCCTAAGATGAAGTGAAAGGGTTAAGTTGTACCTCTTGAGCTCCTGCACTTAAATGATGCAGTGAATTCAAGAGTTGGAAGCATCTAATGACTTATTCGCTCTCCAAAGTATCTATCCTTATGACAAGTTTCTAAAGATTTCAGGTAGTTGCTATGAGAATATAGTCTCTTCTATATCAAGAAAATGACCAATCCTCACAACAGCTCTGAGGACAGAATTAAAGAGTGATCAAAACTCCATAACAGCCTGATAAGGTGAGGTGTGAGAGAAAGAACCTGTGGTTCTCCAATTGTTACCAGAATAACTCCCAGAGCCAGCTTATTAATTGTTCTGATGTGGGTTATAACATAGATCCACTTAGCCAGCCGATTACATAAGCTGAAGCAGGAGTGATGCCACTAATCTTACAAAGAAATATATTATAAGGATCATATCTAATAAATAAGGAAAGTTATTAACTGCGGAATATATGTTTCTTAAAGATATTGCTTTAAGAAACATATATTCCACCGTCGCTGGGCGTGGTGGCCGAATGGGCTAAAGCGAGTGCACAGCACCGCTGTTGCCCGGCAACCTGACATATGAGACAAAGATGAAAAATAGTTCCGAGTTAGCATCCTGGTGCCGGGGGAGTCTTTTAAATCCTATATAGCCTTGAAGGGGAGGACCCAAAAAAAATCTTCCGCCGTTGTAATTTAATAAACAAAATGTAGCCTATACTACAAGCAGTATACATAGCAAAATAATATTTGGACTTAAACACACTCTCATCTGCCAGAATGCTACAATCCGATCTCTGTACATGGATTTAAATCATCATATGACTAAAACATTGAAGCAATTAGCTCTCGACACAATCAATGTCCATTGCTCTGACTGCATAAGGATATACACAGATGCTTCCAAATCCTCCAACCAGACTGCAATAGGGGGTATAAATCCAGCTAAAGAACACATTTTTGTGGTGTAACCATCCAAATTTAGCATTCTCAACGCTGAAATTTTCGCAATCCTATAAGCCACTTATTATTGTTGAATTACATACTCAGACTTTAACATAGCTATTGTAACAGACTCCAGTTCCTCTTGTAAAGTACTAAAAGCAGTTCATTAACAAAAAAAATTACATCTCATGTAACACTTGATTAATAAATAATATGACTTAAAACAGCAACTACAAGTTTCAGTGCATACTTAGGTAAGAAGGCCTGGAAATGAGGCCGCTGACGGAGTTTGTTAAAGAAATAACCAATAAAGCAATGGAAAGATAGTTACACCTGGGTTTCACAAATAAAAGGGAGAGATCATTATCAAGTACAACTGTGTTGGTTGTACTTGATAATGATCAATCAACTCAGATTGATTATGTCCTCATAACAACCAGACACAGGTCGTCTCTCTCATGTACCGTCATACAGAGGCGCAAATATTGTAGCCAAGGGAAGAGCAAAGATACCCATAGTAAAATACAGCCCTCGAAACAAACCCAAACGCTTCAAGGCACTAAAATTAAAATTCTCTGATGAAAGTGCCAGATTCAGTGAATACCTAGAATCGATGCTGAAGAGAATATTGACGCTAGAGAGAAATGTTAAGGAAACGATCACCGAATCAGCTACTAGGATTGGTTACCAAAGTTAAGTTACTTAGGCTCTAAAATGAATGACCGGAATAACATTGGGGAAGAGATAGACAGACATATTCTGGCTGCTAAGCAGTGTTTCTTCGCGCTTCAAAAGCAACACCGGTCCAGCAACTTGTCGAAAACCACAAAAGTCAGAATATACAAAACTTTGATTCGACCTGTTTTAAGATATGGCTCCAAAACCTGGACACTTACAAGGACTCAGCAACTGGAACTGTCTTGGTTTGAACGGAAGATCCTAAGGGAAATTTACGGGTCCGCATACGTTAACGAATACAGGAAAAGATGCACAAATCTGAAGCTGAGGAATCTAAACTATAACTTAGACGTTATCGATGTAATTAAATTCTCTCGTTTGCGATGGGCGGGCCACATTGGTGAGATGATTCCAGAGGAAATTCCATGTAAAGTCCTTTCGGAGAAACTATTGGAAGCACGGAAAGTTGAACGCCCTTGGCTCCGGTGGAAAGATTGTGTTGCTTCCGATGCATTATCGATACTTGGCATTCGTAACTGAAAGGCAACAGCACAAATCGGAAATGGCTAGCGGTAAATGGTGGAGCAGGCCAAGATTCAGGGTGTGGGCCGTAGAGCCGTATAATATAATTCTCATGCTTGAAAGAAATCAAGAAGAATAGAAAAAATCATATTAAAGCCGAAGAGGACGAAAATGATGACGGAAGAATGCGGGGAGAAGTGAAAAACAAAAGGGGAAAAAGAAACAGAAGTACAAGAAGGTGAAAATAAAAAAAGAGGAGAAGAAGACAATCGGAGTAAGTTCAGACAGTTTATAAGAAAAAAGTGGTGATAAGAAAACAAAAGAAGAGAATAATCTCTCAAATCAAGCATAAGAAAAGAGTTAGCAATCCGAATAAATGAGACCCTGTCGATCACTTAAATTATGTCAGGTTCATAGTTTAAGTTTAAAAAAAGGGAGAAAAATTACCATTTTGGGTTGAATAATTTTGAGGATGTTATTTGCACTTATATATTTTTCATGTCACTGCAAAAAAAAAGTCTGGTAAGACTTATAATTTTGACAGGTTTTTAGTTATAATTAATAATAACTAAAAAAAAAAACGGCTAATTAACATTGAAAAGTCAGATCAAAAGATTTGTATAAAAAAAAATATGCATTTAATTTAAAGATATTGACTCCTTTCATTTTAAAGGAAAATTTCAAAAAGATTGTTGAAATATTCAGAAGATGGATTAATTCACAACTAACTATATACTATATACTGTATACTAATTAAACTCTGATTTAAATTAAGTAAATTATTCACTTATTAAACAATATATAAAATGACTTGTCCTTTTACTCTCATATACTATTAAGAATAAAATTCGTATCTACAATGGTTTAGCTTTTATTTACGTTTCTTGAAATAAAATTGCCGATGAATAGATTTATAGAAAAAGTGCATTAAAATAATAACTATTAGTATAATGTTTAAGAAGACATTACTATAATTATTTACTAGAGGTACATAAAACTAAAAATAAGATCCTGAAAGTTGAGTTAAAAGGATGCTAGGAATGTACGCGTATCGTTATATTAAGTCACTAGTGGCTCGGGTGTAGGATGGGAGGTTGTAATTTTTATTGACAGATTCCAGTAACTAAATTTTTGTTCAAGATTTATGATTGTTTATTGCTATGATTAAAGACGCTCAAATTTCACCCTTTACCGTGACTGTGTTAATCAAATAATGTAATCTTCCAGTCAATTATTATTCTGTAAATAGTTCTTTTATGACTTAGAAGCCATGAGTATTGTACAGGGTGGATTAAGTAAACTCAAAAAGAAACATATTCGGGTTAAACATCAAAAAGTTAAGTTATTTCGAGCCAATGAACCTATATTATCTGTTTTTATGTGGGGAGTGAATCATACTGTAAGACATACATTTATATGTGTTGTTATTTGTCATTTTAGCATTAATTAATGCATGTACTCTTTTTAGATAAATGAATTGAGTCATGTTACAATACCAGTTATGCTACTACCAGATGATTTCCGGGCTTATTCTAAGCTCAAAGTCGATAACCACCTATTTAACAAGTAAGAGTTTATGACATTAGTCATGGCTTAAGAATTAAGAGCTTTGATTAAAGTGTTTATTTTCCCCAGAGAAAACATGCCCAGTCACTTCAAAATCAAGGAATACTGTCCTCTAGTGTTCAGGAACTTGAGGGAAAGATTTGGAATAGATGATCTTGATTATAAGGAGTCAATGACAAGGTGATTGTGATTTTAATTAAACAGGTTGATAAGTTAGTGGGCTTCAGTTATCACTTGCTTAGTTGATTATATGTATTACGTTATTTTTTTTTAATTTAGTACTGTAATTTATTTATTATGGTTAGTAAATATAATTATTTACTGTTGATTATTAATTGATTACTTTACCGTAGATATAGAAAATTATATATTACTGAAATATGAACTCTCATTTATTATTCCCTTATTTTTTTGTTTTGCTGCATTTGTATGTTTAACTTACTTGTTTTATTTATATGTATTTTGTATAATAACATTCTATATTTGTTTAAACTCCATTTCTATTTCACTTCTTCTCATTTTAATTCATTATTGTATTTTTAATTGGTTTACTTAACTTAAATTTCATGTGAACCAAAAATGTCTAAACTTTAAATAATTAAAGGTTGCAAACATTAATGCTTAGTTAGCTTTAATATGTAACTAATATTAAAGATCTGGAATTCAATTTGTTTAATAAACAACTTATATAGATTAACAGAAAACAAGCAGTATAGTGAAAAAAGTAAAACAAGATTTCTTCAGAGATCTTCTACTGAGCCAAGTGTTTTGAATAGTTTACCCAAAAGATGCAGGTATAGATTTGCTTTAGCAGTGCTTAACCAGGAACTTGAATTTTTATATGTATACCTATTAACACAGTTTTAATTGTGCTAATGATGCTTGTTTTTTTTCTGTTAGTAATTACCTCTTCACAACACAATCATGTCCATTAGAACAGTGAATGATTCAAATGTCGTTGGAGCTTGCTTATGAGTCAGCAATCAGTACTGCCTTAAATTGTTTTCTATTTTTTATTTTTTCTCAATGTAAATTCAATTCATATTAACGTTATTTAAATTAAATAATTTTCAGATCTCAACCTGTTGTGATGGACAATCCAGGAAAATCTGGTGCAAAGTTCTACCATTCTTATGACCGTCTTTTTGTTATAAAAACTTTGACTAGTGAAGAAGTTGAAAGAATGCATTCTTTTCTAAAACAGTACCATCCAGTGAGTAATAAAATTGTCAATTTTCTGAGATATTAAAAATGGTATTCTAATATTTAATTGTTTTTCAATTGTTTCAGTACATTGTTGAAAGGCATGGGAAAACATTGCTACCACAATATTTAGGTATGTACAGGTTGACAGTAGATGGTGTTGAGTATTACATGGTCGCTATGAGAAATGTCTTTAGCAATCACTTAGCAACTCACAGGTAAATGAAATTTATCGTAAATTGAAATTATTTGTTTAGCAAATTTTGTCTTTGGAATTCAGTGGAACATTATTTCTTAGGAAATTTGATTTAAAAGGATCAACAGTTGACCGAGAAGCTTCAGATAGGGAAAAAGAAAAGGATTTACCTACTTTTAAGGATAATGATTTCGTGAAAGAGGGCACAAAAATTTATATTGGAGAAGATGCAAAGGAAAAGCTTTTAGAGACCCTCACTGCAGATGTTGGTGTAAGTTTCTGAGTTCTATGGAATTAAATCTTTGGAAAAAAAAGAAGCTTTTATATGAACCTTTTATTTACATTTTAGAAGATGATATATTGAGATCAATCTCCTTTTACTTATTAAAATAAATTTGATAGAATCTAATCTGTGTACTTATTTTCAGTGTGTTCAATTCTGACCATTTTTTGTTCAGTTAAATACTTATTTATATTTTAGCTATCCAATAAAATATCAACGTCATATAACTTAAGTTATCTTATTACAATAGCATCAGCATTTGTTAGTCTTATTTGACTTAGTATAAGTTTGAGAATTAAAAGTAATTAGGGTTATGTGGGGTAAGTGCGCATTAGATTTTATAAATATTTACTTTAAATAATTGGGTACTACTTCACTAGCAGGCCGGTTTGAAACCTGACTTCTTATCTATGTTATCTAATGTCACATCACATAACCTCCTTCTTCTTATCCCGCCAAACCTTTCAGTTATTACATTGTTTATTTTTCAGTTATTTCCTTATTACGTTCACTTATTAAATTCTTTATTTTTGGCCCATCAACTGGGATTCATACTCCACACATAGAACGATTATGGGGCTCAGCTAAGTGGAGAAATAAAATACATAGAGAAACTGCCACACAACACCTCAATTCATATTTATGCGAATTTTTGTGGCGGCGGCGGGTTCACAAAGAAGAGGACCCATTCCTCGCTATTTTAAATAGCATAAAACTATTTTGTGTACCAAAATAAGTAAGACGAAGTGAAAATAAATTGTACATATGTCGTTTATAGTGTTCATATTTTTTCTTTCATATGTACATATGTTCTTTAAGTGTTTTTTATTATTTCATTTTCATCTTTTATATCTACATATATTCTTTTAGCATTTATTTTACTATTTTGTTTTCATCTTTTATATGTACATATCTTCTTTAAGTGTTTTTTTATTATTTTATTAATACATGCGTCGTAAAATAAAAGTTCATTTTTGTTATTAGATTTGTTTTTGTTTCTGTTAACACTTTCAATAATACGAATATAATACAATAATACGAAGATGGGAATTACGAGAAGGCTTATCACTGCCTTATCGGAATTATCAGTGTTCAGGTTATAAACATTGGCAGATAGCAGTCAGTCCCGGCCTGGTAGTGAAGAAGTACCAATAATTGTAATGTGAACTTATTTATGAAGTTGGATTTTTCTCTGTTATTTTTTTTTTTTTTTTTTTTTAATGTTTCTGAGACAATTACATTTTAATATTATATACTCAAGTCCACATCACAACCATTTTTATGAGATAGATATTAAATTTAGTTTTACTTGATACACACTTGCCCCTACCTTAGATTATAAGGTATCTGGAAGGTACATTATTCAAGGAATAGTGATTATGGGGCAAATGTAAAATCCCTTGTTTTCCTGGAAGATTATTTTACTGATATACAAAAATAACATTAAAAAAAATTGGAACTTGTATGAGATTCATACTTTTCACTTTTCAGTGAGCCATGAAGGTGGGGTAGCATAATTGAATAGATGCCCTGATAAAAATAATTTGTATTTTAATACATTGATCCACAATTGTCTAATAAAACATGACAGAAGAGGAAATGTCATAGTTTGATGAAATTGACTATGAAATTGTTTCTAGTTTGATCTGCAGTAAATCCTACTATCATGTTCATCCCCGGTAACTGCAGGATAGTGTTTAAAAATAAAATAGCTGTGTGTAAATTTCAAAGTATTTTGAAGAACTTTTGCAGGTTTGCAGCAATGCCTCCTCTCTCTCCCTCTCTCCTCCCCCAAAAAAATTTAAGTGTTGAAATAATTAAATCAAATCCCTAACCAATAGTATGATAATTAAAACAAGTTAAGGAGGTGTTGCCCTCATTGTTGTGGATGAATCCTAATTAAATAAGTAATGAATTATGATGAATCCAAATTTAATCCAATTTTTTTTTATTAGTTTCTTACAAAGCTTCATCTGATGGACTATTCCCTCTTACTTGGTATCCATGATTGTAATCGAGCTGAAACCGAGGGTTATGATATGGAAGAAGTGGAGGGTGAAGAAGATGAAGACAGTGAAGGTGCTGGTGATAGGGGTCCTTGGAGCTCAACGCCTCCCGATTCTCCTCATCAGCTGTTTAGGGAGTCGAGCTTGCAATATGAGGGAGGAATAGTTCCAGAACTGGATATTTATGCCATCCCCAGCTCAGAAAGTTAGTATCCATAATTTGTATGTATAATTGCTATTAATCCTAAATTCTTATTGAATACTATTAACCTAAATGCTCTAATGAAAATTCTCCCATTAGATAGATCCCCAATGCATCATTTGACGTATAAGCAACAACAGAAAAACATGTTTATTCTTATATACAATACAGTATTATCAAGATAGTCTATTCAATACACGGAAGTTAAAGTAGCAATTTGCAAAATATATGATTTGCTTGTCTCCAAAAATATCGCTCCAGTTCAATAGTTGAGCAATTAAACATAGCTATCGCTGAACTTATACTAATCCATTATTGTACTCGCTCAAGTCCTATTTGTTTGATGCATTAGTGCCTTGGTTTGTTGTTCTCTAACTAAGAATTTAGAAGTCTCAGAAGCCATATCTAAATATTTTTATTATTTATCAAGTGTATCAAAAAGTTTCTTTTTATTTTATTTGAAGTGCCCAAGGGATTATGAAGCTGTTCTCCTCCATCTACATTTTCTTTAGATATTTAGTTTGTGGTAGACTAACATGAAAGCAATATTTTAATTTTTAATACTTAAATACATGATAATTATACCATGTCCACCATAAGTACCTAAGAGGCATTAAACAATTAACATTTGTCTCGAAAATGGGACATTTATATGCTTTAAAACACAGAACCCGATAGTTCCCTTGAAACTATCGGTTTTGATGACCGCTTTGAAATCGTTAAAACAAAATTTGCTGTGTCTTGGTTTGTTGGCTTTAAAAGCATCTGTGTTTTGAAAAGTTGGTTTTTTCAATGTCTTTTATTAAAGTTGTCGAAGGAATTTAAGGATTGAAATTGGGATTTGTCTCTTCTTAATGAAATTCCCTTTTGTTTGATATCTTAATAACATTAATAACAACAACATCTTAAAGTCAATTAGACTTTGGACTATATGCAAAAAGCATGGTTGAATAAAATGGCTTGAAGATGGCTTACCGGCCGAAACGTAGCTATGAAAATTAAAATAATATGGTGAAAAAATAAACACTGCCTTATTTTATAAAAAATAAAAATAATTAAAAACGATTAATAATTTATATACATATTTACAGTGGCATCTAATTACAATTTTATGAGGCCCGAATAGGCAGGATTTAAAGATAGGGAGGGTATTGGATCGGCTGATATAGGAAGGGATGGAGTTACATAGGGATGTGGATTGGATAATAAATGATCTGTCGAGTAATGATGTAGAGTTGGTTGACCGTTGATATGATATGAGAAGGAATTAGTCGAGGGTGCGGTCAAAAAAATAAAAAAATTAAAATATATAAATAATTTTAATTTTTGCCCCAAATTAATTTTAATTTATTTAATTTTAATTTATTTTTAATTTATTTTTTATTTATTTATTTATTTATTTTTTATTTATTTATTTATTTATTTAATTAATTTATTTATTTTAATTTATTTATTTAATTTAATTTATTTAATTATTTTATTTATTTATTTATTTATTTTTATTTATTTATTTTTAATTTATTTTAATTTATTTAATTTTAATTAATTTTAATTTTAATTAATTTTAATTTTAATTAAAATTAAAATTATTTATATATTTTTATTTTTTTATTTTTTTGACCGCACCCTCGACTAATTCCTTCTCAGATCTGTCGAGTAGTTTGATAGGATCTTGAATATAAATCCAAAGACCGGGTACAGATATTGTGGAAATGAACAGAGGATTTGAATTGAAGGAGCTCGGAGATGTATGAAGGACTGCGGGATTGGATGGCTTGGAAGAGGAATGATGTCAGGAAACACTCACGACAGTAGGAAGGATAATGGCACTTCAACTCTTCATAAAAATGGGAGAGGCCTCCCTTGGGATCCTAAAGATGAATCGAACAAACCAATTAAGCAAACATTTTAGTTTTGTCTCAAGATCCTCAGGGATGCCCTCATATGCACAGCAGTAGTCAATGTGAGGAAATATTAAGGTGACCAGGAGCCTATTAAGATTGCCTTTGTCTTCTCTGCATTCAACTTCCACTTGTTAGTTCTTTGTCCAATCACAAATCCTGTTTAAGTATTGTGGAAGTTTTTTTGTGGCTGGTAATAGTTCAGAAGAAATACAATATACTGTAGATATAGTGTTTATTCCTTTGTAAACAATATTGACCCACATTAAATTAATGCCATTGTTTTGTTTTATACATGAGCTGCTCTTTTAATATTTTTTTTCTATATTGAACACCTATGGAATGGATATCCATTCCACATAGAGTCCATTGGGGTCTGCCCTAGGGGGAGGGCAAGGACAAGGGATAACCTAACTAATATGCTGATTTGCCTTTTTACCATGATGACTATGGTCTTGGAGACCATAATTGTGTTGTGATGAGTTTGGGATGAAACTTGAAAGAGTGAATCATCCACGGCCGTAGGGATCAATTGAAAGAAAGAGGAACTGCAGACAGGCTGCTGTTGAGGTGTGGTGAGAGGAGTATATAGCTCATATTGTTTGACATATCATTCACCTTCACAATTATGCGTTGGATAGTGTACAATATTTGAATGTCTACATATTATTGGATTCTTTACTATTTGATGGTTGAGAATCCCATTTACTTATCTTTTATCTTTCACTGAATTTTAGATAGAAATTTCCATACTCCTCACATATTCAAACCCTGATGCCAATTAAGTTTGTTTTATATTTTTTCTTCATTAATATAAGCTTAGTATCCTTAAAAGAGTTCTAGACTGTTTTTAAAAACTAATTTTCTTGGTCTATTCATTCTTGTTAAATTGCTAGTCCAATTCTTGGAGGATAGTATCTCTTGATTTCCTTTTAGGCTCATTAATACAATATACACTTCTTTCTCACAATCATAATACTTTTTGTCTCTGCTTATATATTAATTTGTAATCTTACAAATGACCCTACGAATCTGAATTCCTAACTCATACAAAAAATGAAGTTCAATTTTAGCCTTGAATTGAAAGTATTGATTACTTGGTTAAGAAGTACTGTTTCTTGACCAAAAGTTGAACATGTAAGTGATCTTTTTTTATTCTTTTCTCCCTCAGCTCACCTTTATGAAGTTTTTCTTGGGCCAGAGGATTAATCCGAGAGTTAAAAGCCTCCACTTTTACTCGAACTTGTAATCTTCAGTTTATCAGGTAGCGAGGCAACGGATGTTTTCCATATGCCTTAGTCTGCTTGCTCACCCCACCCCACATGGAGTTGATCTGACCAGCTTCACACTCAACTAACGGACTAGGTACCCAAGAACATATGAGTTTATGAGTTTAAGAACGGAGTATGACATATGAACATGTGCCTCAGGCTCAGAAGTCTTCCAATCCCAGAGTCGATGCACAGCTGATTTATATCGTAATAAAAAATTATCTGTCAATGTTGGCCTCAAATCTGGTCCTGGAAGTCAGAAGTCTAGTGAAATACTCTTTTATAGTGAGGAATTTTTATTGAGTGTTAGAATTTTTTCTTACCTAACTTGATGCTTAGGCAGCAATCTCTCATTCAAGATATATAAATTTTTGTTATGAATGATTCTGTAGTTTATATGAATAAAAACGAATGGCTTGTTGGATATAATCTGATTTAAATTAAAAGGGAAAACAGAACAGAGAGAAAAAATTATGAAACAATTTCCCTTAAGAATATATTGGGTTTTCTGGAAAAATAATGCAGAATTTTGAGTTTTCTTTAAAATACCCTCTATATAACAAACTGTCCAAGATACTCAGGAGTAGGCTGACTAAGTTCAGGAGAAGACCGGTGGTAATGTACACCAACGAAACTTGGATTATGAATAAAAGGACCAGTGACCTACTAGAACGGTTTCAGAGCAGGATACTGAGGAATATCCTGGGACAATTTGTGAAGACGGAATTCGGCAGCTTGTAAAAAATATAGATCTGCATAATAAATACAAGGACCTTTATATCTCAGCCAGCATCAGAATCCAAAGATTGAAGTGGTTTGATCGTCGAATGAGAATGGATGAAAATAGGATATCAAAAAGGCTTTATTGACGGTACAGCAGATGGGAAGAGAAGTAGAGAGATAACTAAGGATGAATCAAGAGATAGTGTGCTCCAAGACATATGTCAGTTGAAGATGAAAAAAGTCCATGTAATGAATATAGAGAAGTGAAAGACAGGGATTGAAAAAACCAGGGGCTACTATACGCGCCTGTTGAGCCAAACAAAGGAGAAGAAAGTTCAGTTGCTTATCCTGAAGAAGGACTGACAGAATGCATCAGTTTTATATTTTATAGGAATTGTAGGGGCCGAACATCCTGGTAGGTACATGGGACACAAATATCAAGAAACCATTTTCCAAACAAAAGGTGCCCTTGTCGTGGCAGATTTTCATTAATTTTCTTGGATTAAATGGAAGCATACACACGCATCCTTCCCATGATTATGTTCTAAGAATTTCTCAACTTTTTTGACAAAAACATATGACATGCATGAAATTGCAGTATTTTGTTTTTGATGAGAAATAACAAACAGTATGCCTGGAAATGAATTCTTCTCAATTAATAATTAAAAGATGCAGTGAGAAAGGACTTTAAAAATTAAAAGCAAACAACATAATTAAATTCTTTAAAATAAAATAGTATTAAAAGCATTTTCAAATGAACACACATACACATATACATTTGTATCCTATTAATAAAGTTGTATATATTCATTGAGTCCGATATTTTATTGTGAATAGTTCCTGAACACCTTCAGCAATCCAAACACACCTTGCAGTTACGTGTTGAAGGTTTTGCAGTATACAAAACATTATGTAATTTCTGAATTTAAATAAATTTATAGTCTGTAGGATTTGTTATTTATTACTTCAGCATTAGTTTCAAATCTTAAGCCTTCATTATATTTTTTAGATGCTCCTGTTAAAGAAATATACTTTCTGGCTTTGATTGATGTACTGACCCATTACGGTGTGAAAAAACAGGCAGCCAAAGCTGCCAAGACCGTCAAATATGGGGGCAATGTTGATGGAATCTCTACCTGTGACCCAGAACAGTATGGTAAGAGGTTCATAGAGTTCCTTAGCAAGGCCATCGAGTGATTTGCTGGTTCCATCCAATGATACTTTCATTGCCTCTTTCCTAGCCACTGCGCACATAATTGTCTACTTTTTAAATCATTCACTGTTATTTTTACACCTTGTACCCTGATAAGGGTATCTTTCAAGTGGTACAGTTTTATTTTTATTTTTATATTTTTAGTCTAGAGCAGCTCTAGCATCACAAGTTAAATACCTCTCCTCTCCAAAAGAAAAAAATGGAGTTTTATAGATTTATTTTTCTTTATAGAAAACCTTACATTCCCAGTCATAATTTTTTTATTTGATTAATTTTATTGCTCTTAATTTACATATTTATTACTTTGATCATATTAGTGTACGATCTGAACTTGTTGCAGTCATGTTTTGATGACTAGTTCAAAGTAACTATGTTGAATCATAAAGAATATTATAACTTTTCCCATGTTCTTGAATTTTTATTTGAGAGCACAAGCCTACTTAGTCATTTTTATTTTTTTTATAAATAAATGTTTCATACCTAAAATTATTAAATGTTATCAATTATAGCTCATGCTGAAAATTCCTTTAATAAAGCATGCTTAAATGTATAATTGAAAATTATTAATCCATCGATTGAAATTGTTGATATTGTAAGTTTGTTTTAAAATTCTATCAAGCGTTGATGTATTTATTTCATTCATAGATGTAGGTAATACTGTATACTGTATTCGCTTGAATCATTGTAACATATTTTATTTTACAATTTGCCTGTGCTGTTGATTTGAAGAAAGAAAAAAAAAATCATACACATTTTTTGTATCCAATGAGTTTTTATTATATTTACCAAATAAGAAAGTTAGTGTAAAGCTGATATGATAGATGGTAGAGCTGTGTTAAATGTTTTTGCTATGGCTAATGCCTTATACATAAAACACTATTATATAGTTAATTTTCATTTATACCATTCATAAACTTTTTCAAGACTTATATCTGTATAAGTATATTTATATAGTTTGTTTCTGTCAAGGGCTAAAACTTTTTATATCGCATACTAATAACTTTTTTAATGCCATGTTAAAATTTTTTCATTGTATAGATTTAAATTAAAATAACTCTTGAATATCACAAATTCATTTTAAAATTATAAAAATAAACTATTTGTAAGTCTTGATCCACCTATGTTTTTTCATGAACATGTTTTTCTTTTATGCTTTGCAGAAAACTAAGCTCTAAAGCCCTTTTACTTTAGATTAATATTTTTACTACCAGGCCAGTTATTTATATTTTTTTAAAAAGTTTTTCTATTTTTATTTATTAATTGCTGATAAATACTGCAACCATTCTTATTTTGACAATGGCAGAGCTTAGTTACATTTATAAGTACAGCATAATTTAACAATATTAGTATTTCTGGATTAAAAATCCATCTACCTGGCTTATTATGACAATGTTCAGAAAACAGGTATAAAAGTGATTTATAGCACAAAATCATCTTACAAACAAAAACATTACAAATAATATTTATTTATTCTTTTATAATCAAAAAATAACCTTTTCCTTTCCTTTCCTTCTCTTCCATCCAGATTTGTTACTATTTTTTATCTTAATTATGTTACCAAAATTGATAGGAGTTAAAAAGAACTTTTAAACAAAAGAAGTTAAATTTTAAAATTTATTTGTCGTTTGAAATGACACTGTCTTTAATACCTGTTGTTAATTGCAAATGTATGCTGAACTTCATGGATAAATTTAGTTTAATATATTTGTGTTCATAAAATTTAAAAAAGTCATATTCTATTAGTCAGTTGTAATACCTTGCTGGACATGAAAGTTTAGCATACATCGTTTACAAAAATTTAACAGCAGCATTTATTTCTAAATGAAATAAACTGATGTCATTTGAAAGCATCGATGTGATAATTTTGATTTTAATTTTGTATTTATCTGTTGTATTGTATATTTGTATCTATTATTATTATTATATTTTGATAATTTTGAAGTTTATTATTGTAATATATAATGCATTTAAATATTTGTTTAATATGAAGATTTATCATTGCTGTTTGCTTTTGCATCATGGCTCCTTTTTTCAGTCCATAAATATACTTTAAGTGTGAAAAACCTTCATTTGCTTGTGTTTTTGTGGTTTGTGATACAGATGTTTTATCAAGATTTCAGTGTTAAATTTGTGTGTAATAAAAATCTAATTAATAAAAGCTTGTTAAAAGTTGTTTATTTTTAGACCCAATTTAGATCATTATTTATAAATGCTTATTTGACTATAATTGACTAAATGTACTATACTTTTATTAATCTGTCCATTATAACTAAAGTTGGTAGGAAGCTATATTAGACCAGAGCAGAGATATGAATTGATTTTATTTTATTTTTTTACAATAAATAAAACATTACGTCTCGACACTTTATTATTTATTGAATAGAAGATTGGTTGGGGTGATCAGTAAAAATAAATAAGTTATTTATATTTTCCTTTATAATTTATATTTAAAGCCTTTAAAAGGATTAATTTTTAATCATACTTAAAAGGATTAATTTGTAATCATACTTCATTTATTCATTAAAAAAAAATATCTACGATGTGTTCTTAAGACCACACAATAGAAGTGAAAACATAAACAAGGCTTAATAATATGAGAGATAACATAAAATAATATAAAAGATAAGATTTTTTTATATTAAAAAGTAATAACATTTACAATATATACATTTATAATTGTGTTTAAATTACTAGAGTAAACTTTGCTCCAACTGATGACGCCAAGTCATTATCATGCTCTAAAAATGAAACAATAGATTTATAACTAAAATCTGTGATGATCGTATATTCTCATTATTTTAGTACGATTCGTCATATTTAATATGACAATATTTAGTATAGAATTAGTTCTGATCTGGTTTTTTTCTTTTTGACATTATATTTTTCTCTTTTTGTCTCTATAATACAACGTCAAATCAATATACCATTTTGAATAATAGTTTTTGTCATTTCACAAGAAATCAGTAAGTGGATGAATTCTTCCATTAGATATTTCTTAGGCTTGTTAAAACACCTTAAAAGCAGATTTATTTCCTCCAGTGCCAAAACTAACCCTTTACAAGGCTTTGGTACACCTAGTCTTACCTAAGAGCATGGATAAAAAACAGTTATAAGGAAAATTGACTACTATAATTAGAAAGGAGCGTGCGGAGATAAATCTTTGGAGCTATAAGACAATGTATGCAACCTTTTTGTGATGCAAACGTTGCCATGAACTAAATTTTAAAAAAAAATTGTTATTTCTATGTTCTCACTGACTTCTAACCCCAACCATATTGTCTACAGTCAACCGTTTCTTCACTGCTAAAATTAAATGGAATGAGGTACCAATAAACAAAATAACTTGTTTTTAAATAAAATTCCTTAATCTTTTTTTCATTTATTACTAACATCTTAAATTATGAACATAAACATAAAATACCAGAAAGCATGCCATTAAGTCCACAGGTTTTTTTTTGTTTTTTTTTCAAAATCGAACAATAATACAACACACACAAAAATCCCAACCCAGACAGAATCTAAGCTACTAAAAAATGAGAAGGACATAGCATGATATTTTTGTAAGTACTTACTACGTAGCTCTACAGCCTGCGGTGGGCCTTGGCTTCCCTGAATATTGCACCAGTCTTCACCTCCACCATAACACTCCTCTTCCAGTTCCTTATACTAAGATTTTCCAGGTTCCTTTCCACATCCTTAATCCAAGGTCTTCCTCTCCTTCTGGTGCTACACATCTTTCCAAGCAGAATTCTTTTTCACATTCTCACTTCATTCATCCGTGGTACGTGACCTAACCATTCAATCCTCTTTGCTCGTATGAAGTGGACAATGTCGCAAGATCCATATAGCTCATATAATTCGCTGTTTTTCTGGATTCTCCATTCACCCTCTTTCAATACAAATTTTATGGAGAATTTTCTTCTCGAAAACCTCCAACGCATTTATCGTGGGGGTGCAAAGAGTCCAAGTTTCCGCAGAATATATGTCACTACTGGTCTTACCAATGTTTTATACTATCTTATTTTTGTCGTTGAAGAGTTTTATGTTTGCGTAATAAGCCCGGTTACCTGCCATAATCGGTCTATTCACTTCTGCTGATATTTCATTTGTGCCTTTAAGCTCTACACCAAGATAGGAGAAGGATCTTCAACGCACAGGTCTTCTCTGTCTCTTGAATCACTGTCTGAACTTATAAACATGTACTAGGTTTTGCTTTCATTTATTTCTAAAACAAGCCCTTCCGCCTTCAACAGTTTGACCAAATCAATAAGAGATTGCTTATTCTTTGCCACTAAGCAAATATCATCAGCGTATGCTCATATTTGAGTGGATGAACGCAGTAAATCCCCATTGGAGTTTAGTTTCACAATCACACTATGTAGTGCAAGGTTAAATAGTGTAGCAGATAGCGCATCTCCTTGCCTAACTCCAGCAGTGACTGCAAAACTGTGACTAAGTGTACCATTATTCTATATTCTACAGATCCTACAATTCAAACACTCCTTTCAATACCGCCCCACCAAATCCCGTGCATCCGACCTCTATCCTCCTCACCGAACTACTGCGTTTGATAAAACCTGTTTAAATTCAAGTTGTCTCCCTCTGGAACTCTATACCCTCAGATATTCGACAGGCAAAATCGATATCCTCTTTCAAACCTCTCTTCTTCAAAGACCTACTCCATAACCAATCTGATCGATCACGAAATGCACTTAAAAGCCTAAGCTGTAACAATCTCAAAGTATACCCAGATACTTTGATTATTTTGTGATTCATTGATATTATGTTTATTTAATTTACTTTCTCTGTTTATCTTATATTTATACACGTTTTTATGTCTTTTTAGTATCTATAATTTTATTGTAACTGTTTGCTATTTCGAAAACTTGTTGGGAAATGGTCCTCAAATTTTGACAAATGTCCTCCAGGCTTCCGTTAAGCTGTGTTAGTTGGAGATTGCCAGATTAGTCTTGTTTGATGAGATTTGAACCTGCACGCTAGGAGTAATTATGTGTTTAGAAATTTGTTCACCTTATCCACACTTGCAGACTAGAGAGGACTAGAGCCAATGTGAAACTTTCTGAACAGGTGGCCTTTGAGCCTGTTTGCAATCAGTATATAATTTATCATCATATACATTAGCATATTCATTCAATGCTGTTAACACCTAATTAATCAAAGTTTTGTTTGAAAATTAATGTCATGTGTCAGATATGAAAATTTGATTATTGAATTTATAAGAATTCATTAAAATATCTTTTGTTATCAGTGTGATTAATAAATTAATAATTATTGCTTAGCTTGGTTGATAATTTCTGAACATAATATACAAAGACCAAATTAAAATATCTGGTGTGTCCACTCACACGACTTTCCTACCTATTTCAGAAAAGTTTTTATATCTTTACATATGTTCATGAAGAAACAAAAAAGAATTGAACTAGACACATTTTCCTGAAAATTTAATTACCTTTCAAAAATTTTATTATAAATTTTACCATATAATATATACTTAAGGAGTTAGGCTCCATAAAATTTTTCTTTTCTTTATAACTTTTTTTTCTGAATTTTTTTGGGAATTTAGTCTATACACGAAAAATTGAGAGAACAATGATTAGAACATTATAGGAAAGTTTCATCAAAATCTTTAGAGCCGTTTTTGCGCTACAGTAAATAGAAAAACATGTTTTTCATTTATTGCGCGCAAGCTATTGTGCATGGAGTACCGAATTTCTGTCACAGGCATCAGTAATCAAAATTCTACAAAAAAAAAAAAAAAAAGAAGCAACAAAATCGGTTCAGTAGTTACTGAGAAAATCTTGGCACAGACAGACAGACCAATGGCTAAAAATATGTTTTTCGGACTCAGGAGGCTCTGAAACGTATAGATCTGTCGAAAATCGCATGTCGGAAATTTGACCCGATTGCAATACTTTCCTTACCTAGTAAAGGTAGGAAAGTAAAAACCAAAAAAAAAACAGCAATCATAGACTAAAATTATTATTTCAGACATGCATGAGGCGGGATAGCAGGCTTTGATTTTATGTAGTTTCTGACATCATAGATCACTGGCTGCTATAAAATTAAGTAAAACAGGAAAGTTTTAATTATATAAATTTAATTTGTAAGAAAGGAGTACTATTTTACAAGACAAATATATCACAATAAAGGAGTTCTATTAACAAAAATAAATATCTATGTTTGAATTAAGAAGTCACTATTTCTTAGCTTGAATATCTTCTCTTTTATGGGTACCATCACAGAAAGGTCTATTTGCTGTTTGCTTACAGTTGCACAACCAATAATCCTTCTCTTCAGAAACTTTGAAACGAACAGGCCTTAATTTTATTTGTATATAAGGGTTTTTATGAGTCCCATCACACATAGGCTGAAACAAAAATATATAAGAATATTTAATAGTTGTCCGTTGCATTATAAAGGAAGGAGATGGTCCGGGGTGACGGTCATAAATAGGCTGAATAGCGGCAAAATTATTTTATTAAAAGCCAACGTTTAGACCCGACTTTGCAGGTCTTCTTCAGGGAGGTGTGCTCAGCAAGGAGTTTTACTTAGAACGGAGTTCTAAGTGAGAGAGTACTGAGAAAATTCTAAGTGAAACTCCTAGCTGAACACACCTCCCTGAAGAAGACCTGCAAAGTGGAAACATTGGCTTTTAATAAAATAGTTTAGCCACTATTCAGCCCATTTATGACCGCCACCCCGGACCATCTCCTTCCTTTAAAAATACATAAGACAAGTCAATATTCATCACAGTAGATTATTCTTAATCATTCCTAGATGTAAGATAAAGAAAAAGTACATTTAGCTGACTTTATAACAGTAATTGTCTAGATAACTAAGCTGAATTATATTTCAAGCTTCATATCATTGGAAAAAGAATATAAAACTATATAAAGATCACTATAATGTAATACAATACAAAACATAGTCAGGTGTGTTTATAAAAAGGCAGCATATTTTTTTTATGAAGGTTCTTCGCAATCCACTCACTTGACTTTGTGATACACTTTTCCACAGTGAGCTATCCCAGGTAATGAACTTATTAATGTAAAAAATAAATAATATGTTCTTTTAGCTAAATATTATGTTTTTTTTGGCATTTTCCTGAGGTGTTTTTTTTTTGTAACAGAAATAATATTTGGTAGTGAGGAAAAGTCTTCGAACAAACCAAGTTTTTAAAAAGTAATAAATATTTCACTTTTTCAGTATTTTTATCTTCTTAATTTTAAGCTGATTTAACCTTGCAGACATTGTAGGTGTAATATAGACTTAAATTAGCATTATTTTCAATTAACAACAAGCCAAGGGACCAATCCGTTGTATAGACGTCTTTTTTTTCTCCGAATAATGCTTACCATATTGTTTAAATTTCACTACTTAGTTATCCCATTTCAGTCTTTACTATTTATTATTAACATCAAGAGCCTTTGTTTAAACTCTAGAAATCTTAGTATATTTGTAAAAATTGTTCTAAAATTGGAATTCCTAGTTTTTTTTTTTTTTTTATCAGTACCACTACAACCCATGAAGGATCTTTCTTGTGTTTAGTACTACTTAGGGAAAGCACTGTTTCTTGGTGTACGGTTGTGCAAGGGGGTGATTTGACCGAGATTACAGTGAACCGCTAGGTTTTTCTCCTTAATTAATTATTTTAATTAATGGTACCCACTTTATAGAGGCTGGATGTGCCCAAGGAGGATCTACCTATCCAGGGTCGCCCGACGGCCAATGAAAGAGAATAAATAATTTGTCTGCCATGAGCCGGGATTCGAACCTGGGTCCTTAGCTTTGGAAGCTCAGTATTCTACCACTGAGCTACCCCACTTCCTTTATTTCATAATTTAATTAAATATTCCATATTTTTTCTAGTTTCTACTTTTCAATAGGTTTGTTATAAATGTGTCAGTATTTACAGTGTATCTCAGATCAATCCAACCTAATTATTTCCTTATCTTTTGCCCCTCCTACCGGTTCACTATCCCAATCTACGATCTCCTATGACTAATGTCCTATTATTCCGTCATGTCAACGCACAGTCACATGTAGCCCACATAGATGAATTCCATGATTTCTTCATCCACTACTTCTACCACCTAATCGCTGTCTCTGAAACCTGACTAAAACCTACAATCACATCCTCTCAAGTTTATCTCCCTAACTATACCTTAGTACATCATGATAGAGTAAATAGAACCGGAGGCGGAGTAGCCCTGTTTGTCGATAGCCTGACATTCAAAATTCTCGCTTTGTCTTCTCTTTCTGTCTCCCCACATATCGAATACCTTTTTGCCGAAAAATCCACCTCCTCATATCTATTACTCATTGATGTCTACCGACCTCCTAGAGTGCCCTTTGATGAAACACTCAACACCGTCCTTTACGAACTGACCCCTTCCTACTCTAATATTGATCTTTCCAGAGATTTAAACACCAACCTATTATTTCCTTTCTCTGACCAAGCTTATTTATCAAACCTCCTCTACTCCCTTAATCTGTACATAGTCCCATACAATCGTACCCATCACACCCAATACTCAGATTCTTGGCTCGATATCTGCATTATTGACTCTCCTGATAAACTCCTTGCTTCATCACAGCACCCGGTTCCTTTTTTGTCGGTTCATGATCTCATACAGGTCTCCTATAACGTTCCTGTTCCTCTGTTATGTCCCCGATCTATATCTTTTAGAAACCTTAATTTCCTATCATCTGAAACTCTGACGCCTGATCTTGACACAATCCAATGGGACTCCATAAACTCCGTTGATTTTATGGTAGAAACTTTAACCACTCATCTGCACATTATCCAGGACCGTCATGCTCCTCTTAAAGTTAGGACAATCAAGTATCCGTTAGCCCCTTGGTTGACGCCTGCAATAAAAAATTGTATCAAAATGTGGCTAGACGAAGGTTTAAGCGCACTCGACTCTCCAAAGACTATACGAACTTCAAGCTGCTTCGAAACAGTACACAATCTTTGATATGCCGTGCTAAATCCCGTTACTATCAACAATCCTTATCCAGACTGGTCTTGGTTGGGCCTTAACTGATATTCGGGGTTCATCTATCACTTGAGCGAGCTCACTCATGAAAATAGTTGTCAACAAAATTATCGATATGACAAATCTTAATTTTTCTACTTTTCTGCTGGAAATTGGGCAATTGTTTATATGAACTTTTTTGTAGATCATGATGTCTACTACCAACCTTTTAAATATTTGACACTACTTATGGTATATCCTGTATGGTGTAATCATGAGAACAGCTGAATGGTGACAATTGTTTAGATGTACAATTTTCCTTTATTTAGATTGCAATTTAATGACTTCTACATATTCATATATGATATTTTTCAGTTTTTGTATTTATGGTCCACTCCTTCCTCGTGTTTTAAGTTATATACGGTTTTCCAACCATGACAAAACCCCAATGGCTCCTCTTTAGTTGGAACCTTATAAAATTGTTCGGTCACCTCCGTCTCCACACAATCTCTCTGTTTACAGACCAACAGATACACGCAGCAATTCTTAGAATTCAATATATAGAGCCACTTGTGCAGCCAATAAAAAGTGAGGCAACACTTCTGAAGTAAAATTTAAATAACTATATTTATAGTTACCTGAATTGACTATATAAAGAACATTAAAAGTAAACTTCCTGCCTTACTAAACATGAATACATTACTAAAAACCATTCTTTTCACTTAAATTTAGAATAGCAAGTCAGTAACTTGCAACAAACCTGATTTTTGCTGTGACCGCAGAGACACCAGTTATACGTTTTATTAGGAATCAGCTTAATTTTAAACGGCTTCTTGTCATATATTACACCATTTTCGGACTGAGAATTAGCATTATGAACATCTTCTAAAAGATTTTTTGGCATTTCAGGGTTATCTTTAAAATTTTTTGAACAAAGAAAAGCCTGTAACAGATATAATAATAAATAAATTATTACTTTTAATAATTATCCAATGCTATCCATTCATTCAGCATAATAATTATTATTCAACACGCTGGTATTATTTCTATACAGGACACTACGCTGGCTTAAATTGATTTGATACAAGTAGGCAGTCTTATGCTGAAGCACTTGAGCCATCTCTCTGACCATCAAAAGTTGTTACCCTAATTAAACTAACATGGGAGTCTTCAGGCTAAAAATTAAGTTCAGCTGGCTCAGATGAAAATTCAACCCACACTACTCAAAACCAGGTGCATTGGAACTCTTTCCCCAACAATCATCTATCACTACAGTCAAAATTCATTACGATAAGAATAAAACATTTACCAAGCTTTTGAATTGGCGCATATAAAGTCTGTTTAACTTGGCAATAATCATCATATTAGATATACTTCCAAAAACCTTACAACAATATAAACCTTTAGATTTATAACCTTCCAAAAACCTCCTAGGCTAAACGAAATATTTAAAGGGCAAAGAGGGATGAAATTGTTCATTCAAGTATTAGAGCACTTGAAAGTTAGATTAAAACCAAATTAATAGTAACGTACAAATTTATTACAATATAAATTTTACTTATTAAACGATACTTTGTACATCTCAGTACAAAGTCATCGCTACATTGAAACAGCTTAAACGTTTAAAATTTGAACTTGAAAAAAAAAATGTTTTCTTATGAAGCATTTGTATAAAATATGTGCTTATGATATCCAATATTGAGTAGGTATATACAGGTAGAAAGGCTCATCTGAACAAAGGCCGCTACAGTTAATTTCAAGTACCCTATTCAATCCTGTAGGTTTTTAATTAAAATACCCTATTTTTCTGTTTGTTAAGAATTTTCCTATTTGTTTGTACTGATGAAAAATAAACATCAAGTATTCTTTATTTTTAATAAATCATTAACTAAAGGATGGTCAAAATGAAGAATACTCATTGTGTAAACGAATAGTTGTTTTCTACATTTTTAAAGTTTAATCCAGCAATATTGTATTTAACGAAGAATATTGATATTACTGCAAGAAGCAACCCTTTTCTTAGTGTCCGACTGAGTTAAAAATTAAAAAAAAATGTCCGACTGAGTTAATTTTTCAATAAAAATAGAGAGGGGCGGAAATATCCATTCTCCCTCCCCAACTAGAACGAAAAGTGTGCGCCTATGACCTGATATATGAGTTAATTGATAAAATTAATCACGAGTTCGCTTTCCGGTGCCAATGAGAACTTTTAACTCTGGCATTGATTCTTCGCCCTCATCTCCTGGTCCGGAAAATCCTGTATAGCCTAAAAGGCGAAGAAGGTCAGGACGAAAAAAAATGTGCCCGAGTCTAAATGAAGTTTCTAATGTTCTGCCAAGGCCCATATCAACCCAAACCATCCGTAGTCGTTTGTGAAAATTTAATCCATCTCATGCCTCTTTAAGATGACCTGGAGCAACAGGGCATATCCAGCAATCCCGCAGATCATGGTTCAGCGAGCATCTAGATAAGACATACAAACTGAAATGCTGTCATGCTTACAGATGAGTCGCGTTTCTGTATTTTGTGGCGATCATAGGCGCCGAACACTCTTCCGACAACAGTTTGTGCTTTCAACAATGCAAATTGTCCTCCCCTTCCTCGCCGTTAAGGCTATACGGGATTTTCCCGGGCCAGGGAGTTTGGGCGGGGATTTAAAAGACTCCCTCGGCACCAGGACGCGAACTCATGATTATTTTTATATCATTTGATTGATATATCAGGTTGCCGGGCAACGGCGGTGCTGTGCACACGCATTAGCCCATTCGGCCACCCCGCCCACACCCTTTTTTTTTTTTTTTTTTTTTTTGTTCTTCCCTACCTCGCCTTTTAGCCTTTTAGGCTATACGGGATTTTCCCGGGCCGGGGGGTGAGGGCGGGGAATTTAAAATCCCCTCCGGCACCGGGACGCGAACTCGTACTTTTTATATCATCTCAAATCTCTGTTATCCGGTTGCCAGGCAACTAGCGGTGCTGTTACACACGCTTTAGCCTATTCGGCCACCCCGCCCCACCCTTTTCCTTTGTATATTGGCTCTTTGACCAATCAATAGAGAACACTTCTTTTTCTCAAATTCTCACTTTTAATTCTTGGAGCACCGCTGCAATCTCCCAGTTCGCTCCTTTGAAAAGTTCCGCTGGAAGACTCCCATTCCTCGTGCCTTATGCTTTCTCGTTCCCCCTATTATCTCAATAATATCCTCTTTGCCAGTAGGAACATCTTCGTCACTTTCATTGTTCTCTTTAACTGCATTAATCAGTCCTAACTCCTCGGCCTGTTAACGATTTAAAAGCTTCTAAAAATGTTTTTTCCATTGCTCTCGCACTTTTTCTTCCGTGATCAATACTTCTCCCTTATCATTTTTGACCACTGTATTTTGATTCCTATACCAGTCCTTAAAGGTATTAATCTTCCTATACATTATCCTTCTTTCATTATTTTTTTTGGAAGATTCAATTTCCTCTACTTCTTTTAGCAAGGCTCTTCGCTTTTCCATTCTTACAACTTTCTTGGCGTAGGCCCTTGCATCTCTATATTCGTGGTGCTTTGTCGAATACTCGTTTTTAAAAACTGCAACCTTTTCATATTCCGCTCCTTGAAATTACGTCACATTCTGCGTCAAACCAGCCATTGCGCCTTGTTTTTTTTTTTTTTTCTTTTGTTTTTTTTAGCTCACCTCGTCTGTCACACTGGGAATACTTTGTACAAGATCATCTAACTTTTGTTGATATTCCGTGCATGTTTTCTCATATCTTAGTAGGTCAATGTTCCACCTCTGCGCTTTTGTCTTTTCCACCTCTTAGGTTTACCTCTGTTCTAATGTAGTGCTTCAATTTCATGACAACGATGTAGAAATCAGAGCTTATATCTAACCCTCTATATGACCGAATATCACTATTAATGTTAACACTATAGAAATACCGATTAGATGTCAGAGTATGATCAATCTGGTTGCTAATACTTCCATCCGGTGAAGGCCAGGTTTGCTTGAAGGGTTTTATGTGGAACAAATGCGGACATTATAGTGATGTTTTGACATTATGGTGAAAAAATACCACCTTAGTGAAGAAATTTCATTTCCATTTAAAATTATAGACTCCAATTGCTACTAATGATATATTTCGTTTTATTGGTATTTATTTGGATATATAATTATTTACACGATTTTATAAAAGTTTTTGCATTTAATTTAATAGTTTCATTATCTTACCCAAGAGTACTAAATCATCAACATACCAAAGCACATGTACATTTTTATTTTCCAGCAGCTTTAATATGATCCTTATTTGTAGGATTGTCGGATTGACTGTGTTCGAAACTTCAACGATCTTTCTCATTTTAGTTTTGATTGTAGAATAACAAGTCACAAAACACTGTTTCAAATAATTTCTTGCATTCGCCACAAGTATTCGACAAATTTAACCTCTCTAATACCATCCTTCGTGGGTAAATGAAGTTTAACCATAGACGCCTTTGTGTTATACACTTCAACATTATTGATCATCGTGGGCACTATACAATCCATTAGTTGAAATTCGGTAGTTGACTATCTTTTATACTTAAAATATATGTTACGGTGTAAATATAATCCCTATAAAAGTCAAGTTTACAGACAATTAACCAATATCAGAATTTATTACCTCTAACATTGAGCCATTTATAAAAAATATAACAGTAAGGAACTTCCATCTCTGAAAGACTACTTTAATGTCTATAAAATATCAGTTTTTAATGTTTTATATGGTTGAATGAGTAGGATAAATGAAATTTAAAAAAATAGTTGATGAACAAGAATAAGGGAAGACAAAATTTTCAACTTACACAGATAAAACATTAAATAAACTAAAACCGCAATATCTGCACATCTCTGCTTACTAATTACCTAACGAATAAACTGATTGCATATGCTCAATGGTCTCTTCCTTGCGTCTGATTCCGTACGTGTCGCTTATAAAAGAGAAAATTAAATTAAGTACTATTAAGCAATTTGTTGGCAGATCTTGTTTAAAATAATGGACAACCGGCTCAATAAAATCTTACCAAACTAAAACATCCAGCTAAGCTTTGTATGAAAGAAGTAAAATAATTCCGTGTTTATGATAAATACAAATTAAATAGTTTTATTTTACGAGTTTTAATATAAATCATCTTTCTCATGATTTACATAAAGCCATTGAGTATGACATTTTGAATTTAATACCATTTTTCATTAAAATAAAATTGAAAGTTCAGATTTGTGCCCTAGGTCTTGAATTTAAATCGGCATCGCGGAGCCTTTCAATTGACTAAGTACACAGTTTACTTAACTGTTACTGGATTTAAGAAAATATTGAAATTTCGAGATAAGGTCAAGGGTGAAAAAAATTGTAATTCTCTAGGTGGCACTGCCAAATCGTTGCAAATCGACTCTAAACTTCTCCTACCAAACCAAAACTAAAGTGGACGCCATATTAAGTGTGTGTTAGCGTGTTGTTTGTAGTGTAGTTGAGTTGTTATTGTACCTAGAGACAAGATGAGTTCGTATTTAAAAGTTGCCGAAGATGAAGGAGAAGAACCTATAGAATTACCGTCGGAAGATGACGGAACTTTATTGTTATCGACGTTAGCCGCACAGTTTCCCGGCACTTGTGGACTCAAATATAGAAATCCAGAATCGAAAGGCATTAGAGGAGTGCGGTTAGTAGAAGGAAGATTGCACCCCCCTGATGAAGGATGGGGTCAAAATGTTTACTACTGTGTATTTCCCAAAGGTGGATTATAATTTTTAAAAGATTACTTTAGCTATTTTAGATTGCATAGATATATACTTTTAATTGCTTAACGTTCAACTATGTCTCACATATTATTATCTGTGGTGTTTTTAATAGAGCTAATATCAATAGAATTAATGAATATGATCGAGATTTGACAAGTGTTTGATGTATTGTAAGTTGGCTATTTGAAATTATGATTTACGGTTGTAATGTTAATATTTATGAATTAATTAGGGAATTGAAGTTAGTAAGGTACTACCTTTCAATTGATGTAGGCTCCTGATTTTCAAGTAATGTTGGCGGTTTAGTACTACCTTTTTATTCTGATATTTTGTAATGAATTTCGGGCATGAGCTTCAAAGTTTTGTTGTTATTTTCTTGGTTGTTTCAGGTTTTTAATTTGTTCAGTCATATTTGGGTTGTATTTTAAGTTTTAATGCCATTACAGGTACAGTGTGTTATGTCATCTATTGCTGCATTAGTCCAATTGCAATATATCTACTAATTTTTATTGTTTTTTTTAAATTTCCTAGAGTAGGTTCTAGCGTAGGATACAGAATTATATTATTGCTTAGTGATATCATAGTAGGTGTTTATTGTTCTTCATCAAGAAGAAGTTAAGGGATTTTATCTTTTTTGAGCAATTTCCATTTTAACTGTTTTATCATATAAAATACCCTAACATGTTAGATCTTCAGTAATGAGAGATCTGATGTTAATTAAATGCAACATCTTGAAAGCAAGGTTAGATTTTGAGGTATCAGTGTACAAGTGTCACCCAACTTAGACAAGTTGCCCAAGATCTCATGATCATGCTATAAATGTGTCTCTGAGAATGGATGAGGATTGAGTTGTTAACAGTGTAACCTCCCTTTATTTAGATCTTGGTTTATAACTTCTGCAAACCCTCCACTGCTCCTAATCAGTTAATCTTGAGTCCTTAATTAGGCTTAATTTCATGACTACTTTCAATTCCTATTTGATCGGTAAGAATAAACAAATTCCTAATAGTTTTTTTTCTGTTGAGATCTGAGATGGGAGCCTTTTTAGACAGTTAGGTCACCTTCATTTACATACCGACATACTGTGCCATTCTTGGAATACCATTTAAAAGGTCCCTACACACAGGACAGAATATTTAGCATGGTGTTATGGCGATACAGTAGTCTAACTATCAATTCCATTATAACAATAGTGGGAACACCATTATAAACACCAGTGGTATATTCTCTGAGAACAGAAACAATGTTACTAGTTCACAAGAGTTCCACATGGATTACGCGTGGTTCACAATCACTTCGATCACACTTGTTTATGGAAACCCGAAAACAGCCGAATGTTGTTGTCTTTTATGACGTCAGCCATTGCCCCATCACATAATTCCTTTTCATGCATTTTCGAAAAGAAAAAAAAAAATCGTATTCCCTTCATGGAACTTCCTTATCAACAATTTATTTACTAGTTAATGTAATTTTTTTGCATTTCTAATAATAAGAGGATCCTCTATGTTCTGGTGGGGGCGTTTTGTATGCATAGACTGTCTGATTTGAGATTTAGTTTCAAGTTTATGTAACTTTTTTGAATTCTCTGATATACAGATCCACTATTTTCTAGTTGTCGCAGTTTTTTTTATGAATATACTGTCTGATTTAAAATTGTTCGTCGATTTTTTGTAGATGTTTGGATTTCTTAGATATAAGAGTCCACTGTCAAGTTGTCAAGGACGCTTTTTATGAAAACAATGTCAGATTAAAGATTGCACGAGAAAAGTGTACAATATTAATAAAATGTATCTATCAATTGTTATATAGATAAATATTTATTCCAAAAATGTCCAATCCCAACAAGACTCGTAGATTTATCAGTTAGTTAACTGTTAACTTAAAATTTATTGTTTCGTTTTAATGGCTATTATTTTTATTGAATGAATTAGCTGTGTAATTATTGTTATTCCCAGTTATTTTTCTTGGTAATCTGAAAAAAAAATCATCTTTAATTTCTAGAAAGGAATTAGCTTATTGGGGAAACAACTGACGAAGAATATCTGATAATTCCGAGATAATGAATATTGGAAATCATCAATAAGAAAAATAATATCGTGGAATAGCATTCAGAGATGTAATAATTAAAGGTTTTTATCTATTACTATTTCTTTTTCACAGATCTATAATATTAGTACAAATTCGATTCAGGTTTCATGGTCCGTGTAGCCTGAATTTCAAATGTAAGTTGGTTCCTGCTATATAACTGAACATGGTTAAGGTTATAGAAGTACTTAAATGGTGGTAAAGTTAATAGTAACCGATTCAAGTCAATAGTAACTGATAAACCTGAACGCATTCGGCACTCCATGAACAAGTGTGACCGAAGTGATTGTGAACCCTGCGGAACTCTTGTGAACTAGTACCGAAACAATTTTATACTAAAAAGAAAAGGATCGTCCTCCTTCAGCAATAAACTATACCTAATGTAGGTAGAAAAGTGAGCTAATAGGATTATTCCAGGATTATAAAGGCCACACTGAAAGAAATATTTAGTGATGCAATATAGTGGTACAGTTGTATTACTATCTCTTCCATTATAACTCACATTAAGAGCAATACACCTCAGTGATACATTCTATAGCCTGGCCAGCAATGTGTTAGTAAAATCTTACTAGTATCAATCCATTTGCTTGTTGTAAATCTACATCAATGGAAGATACGAAATTACTAATAGAAAAAATTCAGATGTTATTCATTCTTCTATGAAACCTTACATGAATATTAATAAAAGTATTATATAAGATGCCTGTTAAGAAATTTTGGCAGAGTTAAATTCTCATAATTCCACTGTTCCATATTCTAATATAATTACATTAATGCTTATATTACAATAATATTCTAATTATTATGTGTTTGAAAGATCAGCCAAACTAATTCAGTTTATGAAATATCATTTAAAAAAAAAAATGAAATGTAAAAAAAAAAATAAACTCCCCGGATATTAAAAAATACAACATTCAAATCAACATATTTTTTTTAAAACATAAAAAGTAATGATTTGGGAATTTTAATTTGGAGTGACACTTTAGTTCATAATCAAATATTGTGAAAAATGAATATTATTATTTTAAACTACTTGTAAGTAGAAGTTTCTATGATATTTGCTAAAATAAAATCCCCAAATTGTGACCTATGTGTAAAAAAATAAATGTTGATTTTTTTGAGACCTTTCTCATTATTTATTACTGTCAGTAATGAGGCCTATCCGTGATCAAACTGAAGTTGATTATATTTAGTAGTATACTTACTACAAAGCAGTTTATGACTGTAAATAATAGTTCAAACTATCATTTTACATCTTTGTTTATTTTATGTCACTGTATCAGCATTGCAATCACTTTGATATACAAGTTAATAAAACAACGGTGGGTGCATCACACAACTTCCACCTACCGGCCAAAGAATTTGTCTTTGTTAAAACCACTTCAAGGGAGGGAGGCTTTTAAACGACCAAATAATGATCAGTTCTGTCTTTCATGAAATCATGGATTATTTGTGATTTTTTCAATCAGCCTCCTACTATATTTGTCACTTACAGAAAAACCACCCCTTGTTATGTAAACTTTAAGCACATGTTAATTAAGTTAAGATCTGATACAGAATAAGCTGAGAGCCAACTCCAGTTTTTTAAAAACATCAGGTCTTGAGAAATTCTGTCTCTGCAAAACACCAGGGTTTTCACAAAAATAATTACAATAAATTGTTAAAAAGTTTTTATTGTTTTTTTCCCTGTGAAATGCGATGAACTTGTATAAAATAATTACATTATTTTTTATTTGAACATTTTATTAATTAAACCCTCATTACATATTTTATTTTAAACATTAAAAGAGAATTTTACTAATTACTTTATTAAATTATATCACAATTGACAGAATAACCAATAAAAGATTTTTATTATTTCATGTAATACCCTTATGCGACACAGTGGAAGATGAATCGATAACTCCAAAAGCTATTTCATAGTGAAATTAGATTTTTTACAGAACATAAACAGTGGAATTCAGTTCAATGCGACAACTTTAAATATGCACAACAAATTCACAATCTGAAAGTGTAAAGAAGTAATAATAATAGTTACTTAGATTCACGTAAAATATCTTTATAATTTAACTTATTCTAAAGTTTTTTAATGGTTTAATATATTTTATATTGTTTTTAGAGTTTAGAAGTGGCTTACAAAGCTTATAGTCGTATCAATGTTCTGTGTATTTTCCTTTTATTCCTCTCTGCCACTACTATCAAAGTATCATCTAAACGTATTGCTCTGTGTGAGACTCCCCTGATTTGATATCGTGAGTATTGAGCAGTGCTGTATTGTGAAGATGTATCACGTTCTATTTTTATGCCTGATCATCAGATATTTGGCCACTCGTAAAAGTGGAGTGACACTTGTACAGTATTACCAGTTTTGAAATCCAAAGTTTAGTTACTCCAGCTGATCATGAGTTTAGAAAACTCCGCAAAGTTTAGGCTGTATTATAATATTAATTATAATGTAAATTTTAGCACACATTTATTATGATAATAGCATTGTAGCTACATGCATATACAATATCAATGTGACATACATTATTATTAACACACTTGATCTATAATTCTAACATGGATATTCTTGCTTCCATCACTAACATACCTGTGAAATAAGTTATCGTTATTATAAAATTATTAAAACACTGCTAATCATTTATTAAGGACTTGTAAACTATGCAGTACGATCCAGAAAATTAAAACCGTTTGTGCAGTAGTTATCATGTAACTATTAATATGATTTACTGTTGTAACTATTAATATGATTTACTGTTACTGGTGGAGAAAGACCAGCAAGTGGGCTTCATCGTCTTGTTTGCCAACACCTGACAGCTACCCTCAGGTTATAGCTTACCAGAGTGAGAATGTTGAAATTCATTTCACGGGGCAACCAAGAAATAAAAATTAACTGACCCGGGTGGGAATCGAACTCATGATGTTTAGAACTGAGCATTCTGAGGCCCATATCCCAATGTTCTCCGCCTTCCTATCTTCATAAATATGTTGTAACATACATAATGTTTTAAAAAATATTCTGTTTTCAGAAAATAAAAGAAAATCAGATGATCACTTAGAAAATTCAACAGCTAAAACGAAACGTATGGAAACAAAAGCAAAATGTTCTGACCTTATTATCCTTGGCCTACCTTGGAAAACAACAGAACAACAACTCAGGGAATATTTTGAGTCATTTGGAGAAGTTTTGATGGCACAGGTATATTACAACATGTATTAATATTTACCTTAGTTATAATTTGTGTTTGTATTTATTAGTTGAATTGGCTAACATCATCCTCATAATCCTTTTCCTTTACGAATTCTTTCCTCCTGTTCCAGTCCAGTCCTTGCTTCCTGAATGCCTCCTGCACACCTCCCTCGCAGGTGATCCATGGTCTTCTTCTGTTCATTCGTGTCTCATCCTGGCCATTCTTTCCATACTCATCCTGAGGACTTGCCCAAACCATCTTAGTTTATTTTCTTCTAGTATGGTTTCTACCAGCTGTCTCTCGAAGTTTGACCTAATTGTTGTGTTGTGGTTTTTATCTCTCCTGTTCTTTCCTTTAACCTTTCTTAAGTATCTCATCTCCATCGTCTGAATCTGCCCCTTGTGTTTTGAGGTAAGGTTCCATGACTCGGAGGAGTAAGAAAGGGTGGGCAAGAACGTTGAGTTGTAGATTGATAGCTTTGTGTTCTTCTTTATAGCTTTGTATTCTTCTTTCTTTGGATTGAGTAGAACTTTCTTCCAGCTGTGCTCAGTCTTTGCGATATCTCTCCATCGATATAGCCAGCTTCTAGATATTTCAAATCCTGCATATGTTCCAAGATCTGTCCTTTCAACCTCTATATTCTCGTAACACAGAATGGATGTTTTCTTGTTTTCATCCATTTTGTTTTCTCTGGATTAATATCCATGTTGTTGCTGGACAGCTCTTGCATGATATTTATGTTATTTGTAGGTCCTGGTCGTCGGTAGCGAATATGACGAGGTCATGTAATAGTGAGCATTGTGTAAAAAGTAGCCTTTTACAATCTTGTCTTTTACTCTCAACAGCCAGGATCGTACCAATATCAAGTTGCTTTACAGACACAGCTTGTTATATATTCTCCTTTTTGACTCAAATGCCTTTTCTAAATCCACGAAGCAAACAGAAAGCTCTTTCCCTTTCTTGATAGACTTTTTTTTGACCTGCCTCAAAGTGAAAACAGATCCTGTGTACTCCTATAGTCCTGGAGCCAGGATCGTAGGCAAAGTTTTTAATGTAAATTGAAAGTGTATGTTATTCTGAGTAAAAAAAACTTTCCATTCCAGAGCCACTGCTTTCAAACATTGTGGCCGATTTTAAGAAAATTAGGAAAGTATCTTGAGGATTGAAACAGGAAATCCATTTTGAAAAAAATTGAGAAAAGTTTTTATTTTTTTAACTTGTATATATGAGCTTAGACATGTAAAAATCAAAATTGCTAATGAGGGCCACCAAGGAAAAACTTTTTACAGCCTTAAAAGTCCGAATTTTTCTATATTGTTTTGTTTTTTCACCTATAACTCCTAAACGATGAATCAAAGCGAAAAATGTACCCTTTAATGAATTAAAGAAAATTAAATTGTGCGTTGAATGAGTACATAAACTGAATAATTTGGTTACATGGTAATGTATAAAACCACGATCAACCAATGCTGATTTTTACAAAATTTGTCAAAAATTGAGACAAAGTACTATAAATGGTCCTGTGACTTGAAAATGAGTTCCTTAAGAGGAAAAACTCATGAAATCAAAGTTGTAGAGCAGCAAATTTTGCGTCCACTGAGTACCAACTATTTTAATGTAGGTCACTCACTGTGAACACAATCCGTGATCTTCCTGTGGTTATTAATTGGTAATGAAGGTATAAGTGATTTTCAACAGTGGGTTATTTTTGTTACATGCAACAGTGAGTTGATTTTGTTACATGCAGTATAAGCCTCTTTTCCACCTCTCAGCAGCAAAGGATTTTGATACACGATTTGTCGAAAGATACCGAATTTTATAAAGAAATTACGAATCCCGATATATATAATTGGCCTACAATAAAAATTTCAGTACCCAGTGGACTCAAAATTTGATGTTCTATAACTTATTCTATGGGTTTTTTCTCTAAAGGAACTCATTTCAAAGTTACAGGACCATTTATAGTAATTTGTCTCAGTTTTTAATAAATTTGGTAAAAATCAGCATTGGTTGACTGTGGTTTTATACAATACCATGTAACCAAATTATTCAGTTTATGTACTCATTCGATGCACAATTTAACGTTCTGTAACTTCTCAAAGAGTACATTTTTCACTAACATATAGCATATAAACCAATATATACAAATTAAAAAAATTAAAACTTTTCTCACATATTTTGCTAAGGATTTCCTGTTTCGATCCTCAAATTATTGGCCTAATACTCTTTAAATCAGCCGCCATTTTTGAAAGCAGTGACTCCGGAACGGCAGACAAGGTTTATTTTACTTATAATAACATACACTTTCGTAATTTAAATTCAAACCCTGCAACCAAGTCAATTTTTGGGCCTTGGCTCCAGGACTACTAGAGTTTATAAATCCATAGTGCTCTCCGATCTGGCAATCTACCACTCTTCTTGTTCTTCTTCTAGGATCTTGAATAGAGCTGAGATTCTTGGCACATTGACCAGAGATATGCCTCAATCATTATTGCATTCTCTAATGTATACTTTTTTACGAATAGGCACAACCATGGCGATTTCCCAGTTCTTTGGTATTTTTTCCTTGAACTATATCAGATTTAAGAGATTGAGAAACATTTCTTCATTTTACCACATCATTTCGAGAGTAATTCTTAGTAGGTCTTCCTCGCTGATAAAATCGTCTTCTTCCGAGTACTCCACCTCTGAATTGTGTCTCTCATCCGGACTAATGTCTCTCCCTTCCAGTAGCTCCTTGAAATACTACCTCCATCTTTCCATTATATCTTCTTTCTGCCATAAAATCCTTCCATCTTTATCTTTGATTTCTTTGAGGTGATTTGTTCTTTCTTTACTCATTCTTCTTTTCTTGAACCTTCTTCACATTATCGGTCCACAAACTTCTTTTAAACCCAGATCTTGATATTCGAACCCTTTTCTCTTTGCATATCAGCCTAGCACCATTGAGGATGTTTTTCTTGAATGACGACCAGCTCTGCCCTAGATTAGATTAGATTAAGAGTTATTTCAAGCGATCAACAATTGTGTTATTACGCCCTAGAGCTATTGTGTTATTTTTAATTTATGTTCACGATGTATAAATTCACAATTATATTTTGAGGTTGCTACAATTTTATACACATATGTTTATTTAAATGCAGTTATATAAGTAACATGGTCTATACGTAATTTATTGTTTCCTTTCATGTATTGCATTAATTCTTAAACTTTATGGTACAGTTGAATTTTTTTATAAGAGCTTCATGTTTTCTACTATAGCTCTACTCTATGTCATCATTACCCATGGGTGATCAGAATTTCGTGCAATCCTATTTATTCTTGGAAGTATGGTGCCATTTCTTCTTGTAGCCTGTAGGACTTAATTATTGTCTTTGTACCTTTCTTATACCTTTTCTGAGGAGTTTCTTCATTCCATAGTTTGTCCAACATTAGGAGGTAGTGGTCGCTTCCAATTTCATATCTTTTTGTGACTCTCACATCCATTACTTCACAAACCTTTTCTTTTCTTATCATAAAATAATTTATTATAGATCTTTCACTGTTTCCTTGCTCCTCTCCGGTGAATCTATGGATTTCTATATGCTGAAAGAGACTGTTAGCAATTCTCAATACATTTCCCACACACAGACTGAGAATTCTTTCTCGGTTATTGTTGATGCTGCTTTCACTAAACTTTCCTACGACTCCATCCCACATTTCCCTCCGCAGCCTACCCTGCCCTTTGCAGGTCATTAAACAACTTTTCTTTTTCATACTGACCAGCATTATCATTAGGATCATAATGCTACTATAAGTGAATACATTTTCTCATTTTCAAGAATATCTAGAACAACCATTAGTCTATCATTCACATATTTCAACCTTCTAGTAGACAAGCATAGGTCGCACACCTTTCTGCTCAGGCCAGGTACGTTCCTGGTTTCAAGTTGAATTAACTGATTTCTACGCAGTGTTGAATTCTGTAAAATGTGTCCAGCTCTATTCCTTCCATCGTTAGTAATTTTTATTATTTTAAGGCGAGTGGGGTATTAGTTCCCACTACTTCTCTAAGCCAATACTGATCCTAATATCCTTGATTTAGTGATAATAATTGAATCATTGCAATAAGTTTCTACTTCAGAAAGAAGAAAATTATATCATGTTGGAACATATGAAATTCAGTTTTAGGGTGTGAGGCAAATGGAATACAAACTTATATACAAATTGTTTTTAAAACGTATTAGCTTCAACATATTTATTTAGTCAGTATAATTTGGGCTTTAGAATAGATTAAAACACTGAAACAAGGTGTACGTTAAACCAGCTTTTCAAAAAATTATTTTGGAGGACTAAATTTTTGTTTCTTCCAATTACAATTGTAAAATTTTGTATTAATAATGTACAGCACTCTATTTCTAAACTGGGTTAATCTAAGGAAAGAGGATTATGATTAGAAAAAAATGTCCGCTTACTTCAAGATAAACAGTCAGGCTAGGAGTACAACTAGCTTTTAATAAGACCTAACATCATGTTGTTTCTCTGATTTTTGTTAACTCCCATTGAGCTTCCGATTATCTTATGATTTTAATTTGTAGCCTATCAGTTTCTATTGAAATGGAAAGTAATTTTCTGATATCACTGCCTTACAATTATTCTTATATTGTGAAAGGGAAAAAATATTGTTATCACACGTGTTGTATTGTTCTCGGTTTAGAATTATTTCCTGACACACCTTTTTCCACAGCGTTTTCATGCTCTGCTTCATGGTATTGTGAATGAGATATGTTGAATAGTTCACTTTACGAGTAATCTACTTCATTTATAATTATTTTGGTATAAATTTCCACAATGACCAGGATGTCAAGAATGTAAGCCTTTATTCATTGATTAATTATGGACCTACTCAGGAAGGCAAATATTAAACATAACTTTTCTTTATTAACTTTTCTTTCCCCTCCTCCTATTAACTCGATAATCTTCCTGATTGTAACTGAGGTCAACTATATTTGTATAATATAATTAAATTATTGAATTATTTTTGCTTACATTATTTTAACTTTTTAAGCCATATACTGTTTTAAAAATATACATGTATATTTTATAGGTCAAAAAGGATCCAAAGACTGGGCAATCTAAAGGATTTGGTTTTATTCGGTTTGCTAACCATGAATCACAAGTAAGAGTGATGTCACAAAGACATTTGATCGATGGCAGGTGGTGTGATGTCAAAGTTCCTAATTCCAAGGTTATTTTATATTCAATATTTTGTTGATTTAATAATTCAAAATTGTTATTTGTCTTATGAAAAGTGATGAAAACTAGTTTCTTCTTTTTCATAGATTACATTTTTGTTATTCCTTGATTTATATTAATTTTTTAAGATTCTTTCTTTTTATTTTATTTATGTGTATATATGTTGAAATTTATATGATTGGTGCTTATTTGAATACATGTCCAGGTTTGGAAGATTATTTTTTATGTATTATGTGCCTATGTGCTCATACTCCAGGTTGTATTGTTAAGAGGAATATACTTCTTCGAGAAAGAAAAAAAAAGCCACAATAACTGATATATTCTGTTTTGTTAAATTATCAAGCCAATGGAATCCGAACAAAGTTCCAAATTGCCTTTTTAAAATTGCGCTTTAGTAAATAAAAAGTCGAATTAGTAGCTTAATATTTATTTTTAATCAGTTTTATTCCATTTTTAAACGAGAATAAACTACAAAAATTAATATCCTGCAAAATCAGACCATCTATTTGAAACTATTTTGAAGGGTATATCCTTGATAGGAAGTATTTGCGGCAAATGATCATACATTTATTTCTCTCAAAATGTAATCTTGCTGTAAAAAATGTTACAAACCTGTATGTAAAGATGATTTTATGTTTAACCTGTACCTGTACAACTCATGTGAGGTTTTAGGTTCAGTCTTTGTAAGGAAGTATTGTTCCAAGGCCAATTGTTTTGCAGGGAGTTGATTAAGTTGAGATCATGCTCAAATGCCAAATTTTCCCTTTAGTTAATTATTTGATTAAGATTATCCACTCAATAGAGGCTGGGTGCATCCCAGGACGTTCTCCTGATTTCAGGGTCGCTCTACTTATGATGTAATGAATTAATTAACTTAGTACCTGGAGGGATATCATCTCCGTTTTGATGATATCTCTATAAGGATCGATAATATTAAATCTCTAAAAATTATCTTTTGCTCTTTTTGGAAATATATGACATTCTATCTTTTTATCTGAAAGCTACTGATTACAAAGTATTGATTAGAAGTGATGATAATCCGAGATTGAATAGTCGACTGGTTGAGTCCAATTGGATTCCTGGTTGGCTTATGTGATTTAAAGAAGCTTTGATCTTATCTGATCTAGTCTTTACTTACTGTGTAATTGTTTGGGAAAAAAATTAATTACTTTATTGAACATCAAAATTAAATAAATTTTTTGTTGTTTATAAAATATCCTAAAGATTGCCTAGACTAGTCTATTCAAGTTATTATGAATCTAAATTATGAGAACTACAATGGTTTATTTGAGACATTTTATAATTTATTTTATTCAGAATATAGGCAATTTAAAGTTTTTTCTGTTTCCATTCTATTTCTGTTACTGTTGCATCTATTTTGTTTTATTCTATTATATGAGGATGGATTTTTTTAGTGTCTACTAGTTTGGGAACTTTGAGAAGATATAGGGGATTTTTATAGTCAGATATTGGCTGTAAATTATGCAGAAGTGGGGAAATTCATCATGAGTTCTGAACTAAAAATGTTTCTCCACCTCACCATTTCTGGCATACAGGGTGAGAGGAATAGGGAGTTGTTGTAGAAATTAAACCAAACTTATTCTAACCAGATTGAGGTCAAAATTCATTCTGTTGGTCTGTCACGAAATAAATTATAACTTGCCCAGGCTGGATTCGAAGTGCCATCGCTAGACTTGAGAATGTTGATTTAAACTTAGTTATAAGCTTATAATTAAACGGGATAATAATCCTGCAATTTATCACCCTACCCTACCTACTCTTATAATTAATATTTTATTTTATTATTGCATATTAGGAACAAAAATAGCTTGTCTTGAGTTTCATCCAAACTATTAAATATGTTCAAACTTATTTGGGAATTTTCATTACTAAAATTATTAGACACCATGAACAAGTATAAACAGTACATAAAAATTTATTGATTGATGTTATACACAAACAATATTTTAAGCATTTCCTGTATTCTCCTACATTATTTACTAACTTTGGCCATTGATTTGGACATTCCTTGTTCATAAAATGTTTTAGAGGAAGTAGTCAGCCATTTGTACAAGAACACACTCCAAAATTTTTTCATAGCTTTTGAATCCTTTCCCTCCAAGTGATTCAAGGGCTTTAATAAAAATCATGTAATAAATGTCATGGAGAATGATTACATTAATGGTTTACCTCATTTTTTCTAGAGTAAATAGGCATATCTGCTCATATTCCCTCTTATGCCAATTCTTTCTTCTACAGGGAACTGCCAATCTACATTTTATTAGTTTTGGAACCCATGTATGCTTTCATCTGTAGGACTTCTCATTCACCATCGATTTGGACTTAACCTTTTAGATTTTTTCTCACCCACTCTTAAATTCACTGACAGTGTTGCCCCCGGACTACTACGTCATCTCCCCCCCTCGCTCTATATCCCTATGAGGATCGATAATATCAAATCCCTAAAAATTATCTTTTACTCGTTTTGGAAATATATGGCATTCTACCTTTTTATCTGAAAGCTACTGATTACAAAGTATTGATTAGAAGTGATGATAATCCGAGATTGAACAGTCGACTGGTTGAGTCCAATTGGATTCCTGGTTGGCTTATGTGATTTAAAGAAGCTTTGATCTTATCTGATCTAGTCTTTACTTACTGTGTGATTGTTTGGGAAAAAAATTAATTACTTTGTTAAACATCAGAATTAAATAAATTTGTTGTTGTTTATAAAATATCCTAAAGATTGCATAGGCTAATCAAGTTATTATAAATCTAAATTATGAGAACTACAATGTTTTATTTTGAGACATTTTATAATTTATTTTATTTAGCATATAGGCATATTAAAGTTTTTTCTGTTTCCGTTCTATTTCTGTTACTATTGCGTCTATTTTGTTTTATTTAATTATATGAGGATGAATCAGTATAGTGTCTTTTAGATTTTTTCTCGCCCACTCTTAAATTCACTGGCAGTGTTGCCCCCGGGCAACGACGTGATCTCTCCCCCCTTTCTCTAAAAAAATTAAATTTATTATTTAAGCTGTTTTACATTATTTAATATTTGAATTTTATTTCATTCAACACTTCTCTAATACAGTTGCTTTATTGATAGGCTAAAATTAATTATATTAATAATTTTTTTTTTAATTTCTTACAAGTGGGCGAGTGCCTTTGAAGATCGGCCAGTGCCCCACCATGTCTGTGCCCCAGGGCAATTTTCCTGCAATTGCGCCTCCCTTAGGTCAGCACTGTTTACTGACTCTGCATGCACTCTATTCTGAGGCTGTAAAGTTCCCTAACTGTGCCTTCAAACAAGTGAAAATTGGTAAAAGCATTTACCAAATTTATTATGAATATTGAAAGTATGGCTTGTTAATAATTATATAATCGGATATATAAAAATTATTTACCGTTTATATTTGATTCATTTTTGTATGATATTACTTTATGATGTAAAAAAAAATTAAATATTTCAGCTGTAAAGAGGAAAATAAGATTATCAAATTTATTCCAGGATAAGATAAATTCAGTCTTATTATTCATATTAATTAAAAATATTGATTTTACTGCAAAAATTAAAAAGAATCAAATAATTTCAATTTTTTTGTTCAAATTCAATCAATAGTTCTTTCTTATTTGCACACTAGTGCATATTAAAAGTTTTCTTAATTTTAACTAAAATAGAACAGCACTGTTTTTGTTTTAAGTTCTAGTTCAGTTATTATTATGATAGTGTGTCAACCAAATAAATTTTGACACTATAGATATATTATTGCTATTTCTCATTTTGGCTTGTTATAATATATGTCAGTTTTAAATATTCATTTGTTATGGTAGTGTTTTCATTTTAGGAAGGTGCTCAACAGCAGGTCCCTTGCAAGGTATTTGTGGGACGATGTACAGAAGATATAAGTGCTGATGATTTGCGTGAGTATTTCTCCAAGTTTGGGGAAGTGACGGACGTGTTCATACCAAAACCATTCAGAGCATTTGCTTTCGTCACTTTCTTGGATCCTGATGTTGCTCAAGCGCTGTGTGGTGAAGATCACATCATCAAGCAAACTTCAGTTCATGTATCAGAGGCGTCCCCAAAGACAGACTTTAATAACCGATACAATGCAGCGATGCGTGGTCAGAGAGATCAGAAGGGTTACGGGGGAGGTGGCTACGGTCCAGGTGGAAATGGAGCCCACATGTATCATCCACAACAACATCAAGGTAACATGCAAGGTGGTCCTGCACCATGGGCACAGGGAGGCCCCGCTAACCGTGGTAACTTAGACATGCCGAATCTGCAAGCTCTTGGTATCACTGGGCAGGGGACAGCTGGCGGGGGTGCTGGGGGGCAGAATTTGACCAATCCTCTTGGCATGGGGCTCAACCTCTCTGCCTTACCGATGAACCCAGCACTGGTTGCCGCCGCCCTAAATCAAGCTGGGTGGGGGCTGATCGGAAATCTTCAGGGTAACCAAGGTACAGGCGGAGGGGATGCAGCACCGCCTGCCCCTCAATACCCCAACTCTGGGCAGTTTGGTGGGGGGCAGCAAGGCACAGCGCCTCCGCAACCCCCCGCCGCTGCTGGGGGCTTTCTTAATTGGATTAGCCCAGGAGGAAATCAGACCAACCCAGAAACTGCCCAGAATAACACAGGCCAGCAACAGGGTCCCTGGCAGCAAAGGGACGGTGGTAAATCACAGAACTTCATGAAGTATGAAAAATATGAGTAATATGGTTGTAGTGACAGATATTTGTTTTAACTATTCATGTATGTACGCGTGTTTTAATGTAGGAGTGATCTTGATCAATTACCTTAAAAAATTATCAAAGTATAAATTAGATATATTTAGAGAAAAAATGTTTTTGAATCGAGATATTTGAATAAAAATAATAATTATTTATTTTTCTTTAGATTGAATTATGTAAGAATTTTATTATTTATACTCTATGGTTTTCATAAACAATGTAGTTTTACATTACAATTGATTTGAAAGACCTTTAGTTTATTTAATCAGGTTTTAGTTTGATGTTAGTCAATGATTATGTAACTGATTTCTCTAAATCGTTTCAGGATGGTGGAATTAAATGTGATCAATTTATATGGTTTGCAAGGTGTTTGAGTGATGTGTCATTGAAAAAAGAAGAACTTAGCAGAAATTTTTGAATGACAGAAGTATTATTTGAGTGATAAGCTGTGAATTGTGTCAGTTATATTTTTGCAGTTTAATTGTGAACTTTAAGAATGGTGTGAGGATGTTTATATTTATTTTAACTTTATAACTCGAATATAGGGTAATAATTTGTTTTTATCACAATTATAGGCGTTTACTTAACACTATTTTGTTTTGTAATCGAGTGTTCATTGTTTCCCAAAACAATATTGTCACCAAAGTGTAATGTTCATTAAATTTTCATGATTACAACTCTTTTGTTAAAAGAAAATTAATTAAATCTTTTCTTCCCCTCTAGCCCATTAAAATGATAAAATAAAATCCTTTTCTTTCCTTTTAATTTTTATCCATTTTTTAAAAATAGATGTTAACTTGTGATCATTATTCTTTGCTTATTAATTTTTTCAACTTTTGGCTCTAGCTTGTATGGTTTCATATGACCAATTATATTATAACTAAAAATAATAATTGTTTTTTAACTTCAAAGTTTTAATTATATTTAACGAATATTACATATAAGTTTAGTTTGTTTCAATCTGGCCGACTTTAAATTAGTCATAGATAAAAAATAAAAAAACTTGGTTATTCAACTTCTAGCTTTAAATTTGAATACCTGGAAAAATGTAGATGCTATTGATATTGGGAAAAATTGTATATTATATTGTTTTGTAAATAGGAAGAATATTGTCTCTAAGGTTAAATATATCATAGTTTTGATATCTAAAAATAGTCTGAGAAAAGCTGGATTACGTTTATTTTTTGCCATCAAAATATATTTAATTTTCTTTCCTTTATTAAAAGAATTTCATTGTATAGTCGAACATCTGTGTATCAAACTTTTTTCCATACTTGATAAATCTTTGTATCCTAACTTTTTCTTAAAAATCTTGAATTTTGGTTATAATAAAATATTCCGTATTTAAAATAAATTTTCTATATATTGGACAAAATTCGAATTTAAAAAATGCAAATTGTAAATATTATAAAAAAATAATACGAGCTTTTTACTCATTAGAATGGGAAATTATTAATTAAGAAAAAAACAAACATTTCACGGTTTCACAAAACAACGGAAATTCAGGAAAGACCCTTTGAAGAAGTTATCGGTATTAGATACCTATACCCATGATGAGATTTGCTGAATCTATTTCCTAACACAAAGTAAAATTTATACTTTAAATTTATCTCTTTTTCTTGTGAACATGCTCTCAGAAGAAAATCATTAGATGCGAATGAAAAGTTCAACCTCTTAAAAGATGTGAAATATGGAGCGAAAAAAAAATTAAAGTTTAAGACAAGTACAGTATTCACATCTTAAATAACCATGATAAGGCTATTAAAACATTTCATAGTTTTGGAGTAAAGTTCGTCAATAATTTAATGCTTAAGTTTTAATAAAATCGATGAAGTATTGAAAGTTGGTGCCCTAAAAAAATTGTTTATTTACTTCTTTAATAATGAAATTTTTAATTGTTTTTCATATCATTAGGATAAACAAATTGCTATCTTTCTACTTATCGAAGTCTTTTGTTTGATATATAGTGGTTCGATTGTAAATGTATTACATTATATTTTTGGTATCAGGAATTACTGATGTTTACGAATATGAATTGAAAAGTTCAAACAAATAATTCTTAATTGTTCTTTCTAAGAATAATAGTCATTTAGAATCAATTTGTTGTTTTAGTTTTTAATTTAATCATGTTACGATTTAAATATTTTATTTTTATATTTAAATCAGAATTTGGTAATATGAAGTAAAAATTAAGTACTAAAGTAGTCACAAAATGGTATTTCAGCTTATACATCACGATGCCATAGGATAACAATATTATTTCATGAATGGAGAGATTTAACAATGATACCGTTACCTTCAATATTGAATGCTAATTTTCTTCAAAACAAGCCAACTTTAGCGTAAGGTAGCCATTGAACTAGTCGTTTTCAACTTATATATTTTACTTTTATGGTGTTATTTGGTTGTATGTCTACCATCACTAGAGCCATAAATAGCAGATTAATGTGTGAAGTTAAAACTAAACTTTTCAATAATGCTATGCTAATAGCAGTTCGCTAAATTAGAACAATCGTCAGCAAACGTAAATGAATTATAAAAGTATTTTTCAATTAAACTGAATGAACCGCCATAATTTCCAGATCCTTTTTCTTTTTTATCCTATTTCATGAAACATCATAATTTATAATGTGTAGCTAAACTTCATTAGGATTAGTGTCATTCAAGGCATAAGTTAGAATGCATCTAACTCTTGAAAATACTTGAGAGCTGGCAGTGTAGCTGTTGGATTTTGACTGTGTGATGGTCTTGAATGGAGATAGTCTTCGCTATTGTGTACAAGGTGAGAGAGTGAGAGTTTGTGTGCTCCCAAACTATGGATTTACATTAACTGAGAATGTCACAAGTGTGGGTTTATTTGATTGCTGAGACTGTATGAGATTAACTCTTTCTTCGGTTAATGAATGACACAAAAAATAACTCTGATTTGATATTTTAAAAACCTGTTGTGTGATTGATGTAAATGCATCATGTATGTGGAGCACTATTAACCCTATTTAACATTTGATTTTTTATTTTTAAATTCAAATCCATTTTTGTTTATAATTATCAAACGTCCTAAAAGTCCGTTTTAATACATTATTTTTTTTTCCAGGTTTTTATGCTCGGAGGAGGAATTAAGTGTCGAAGACAATGATCAGTGGAAAGTGTAAATTATATTTATGTTGTTCTTTGTTGTTAATTTTTCTTTTGTATTTTTGTAAAATATTCTAGTCATTTAATAAAAAAAAAATATAATAATGACAAAAATTGGAGGGAAACGAGAGGAATAAAATAAGTACAAATAAATTAAAATTAATTCCCCTTGTTGGCTCTTGTAAATAAATATGACGTATTTGTTTTATTATTTTTACAGTAAAATATTTTTAAAAATCTTAATAAACCTTATTTTATTTACCTTGAAAATATGATCTGTACTTGTATTGCTAACTTCTGATTTGATTATTTGTAAGTTACCTAATAGTTTTCAAATTGTCTTTCTTCTATGAAGAAAGGTTGATAAATTATAGGAATAAATTGATAGCACATTTTTTGTTAAGTTAATTTATTATAAATTATTGTTAAAAAGCATTGTTGATTTATGATCTAAACTTATTTTCTAAAGTTGAAACAAAAAAAATTATTTAATTGGAATACAAGAAATAAAATGAAATATGGACATTGTAATATTTTTCTGAATGTACTGGGATAATGGAGATGTACCAAATTTTATTCATGTGTTATTTGGGTCTATTATGGGATTTATTATTAATCAATGTTGCTGGTAAGGTGCTTATACACTTGGTATCTATTCTGTGTGTGTACCTTCGCAATTGGAATTGTTAATTCCATTGAAACTTTTATGACCCACAGGATACCCAGAAACATTCAACTGTCTATTTTATAGCTTAGTTTTATGTCTCTGTCTAAGTATATATTATAAAGTTATAATGTATTATAAACTGACTCCCAAGAAAAGTTTTTTTTCTTTAGGTTTAATTGCAGTTTCTTCTCAGTACCATTACAAATTATAAAACCCATTAATATCTTATGCCTTTAATAAGTATAATAATATAAGAAAATAATATCATACTAGTGTACCTGTGCAAAAACTCTTATTGAACATCTATCCTGCTTCTCCTTAATACATTCAAAGCATAATCTATATCGAAACAAAATATTTATTCATATTATCAATATTTTATCATCAAGAAATCCTATAAAAAAAAATTGGTGAAACTACATACTTAATAATTACCATATTGAAGTTATATTTTACTTAATAAAAGCTTTCCCTTCTGAGAAATTAAAATTAGCTATCTACTGGAAAGTATTCCTTCCATTTTAAAGTTAAGCCGTAAGACTCAAGTTACCATAAATTTGAACTAATATTGTATTCGGTACTAGTTCACAAGAGTTCCGCACGGGTTAAGTGTGGTTCACATTCACTTGGATCACACTTGTTCATGGAATTCCAAAAACAGCCGAATGTTGTCGTCTTTTATGACAGCTATTGTCCCATCACACAATCCCTTTTCATGCATTTTTGGAAAAAAAAATTGCATTCATGAAACTTCCTTATTAACGAATTGTGTATTTACTATACTAATTCTTTTATTATAACGGTTATTACTGTTAAATAAAAAAAAAAAATATATATATATAGAATAATGTTTGACGTCTTTTCTTCAAGGTCTGTTAAAAAAAAAAATGCTTTTAGAAATAAAATTTTTATTGACACATGCTTACATGTAGTGGCTGTAAATACGCATATACTGTTGTATATTATTTTTTATAACTGTGTATAAAAGACTTTTTTATCATTTGGATAATAAATAATCTGAAGTTATCTATTATATTTTGTTATTCAAGTTTTTCAATAGAAGTAGGAATAATTGAATTTATAATTTATTTTAGCAAGCCTTTTTTAGAATTACGCAACCATTTATCTAGTTTATGTAACATTTTGGATTTCTAATAATACAAGGGTCCACTATTTTCTCGTGGGGGGCGCTTAGTATGCATATACTGTCTGATTTGAGATTGAGCATCAAGTTGATGTAACCTTTTTTAATTCTTAGATATACAAATATCCACTATTTTCCAGTTGTCAGTGCTTTTTATGAATATACTGTCTGATTTAAAATTTCCGGAAATCATCAATAATAAAAATAATATCGGGAAATAGCATTCAGAGATGTAATAATTAAAGGTTTTTATCTATTACTATTTCTTTTTCACAGATCTATAATATATGTACAAGTTCTATTCAGGTTTCATGATGTGTAGCCTAAATTTTGAATGTAAGTCCGCTCCTGTTATATAACTGGATATGGTTAAGGTTATAGAAGTATTTAAATGGCAGGAAAATTATTGTAACTGACTCAAAAGATCGGTCGCCTTCATTCTCATTCATATAAACTCGAACGCATTCGGCATTCCATGAACAAGTCTGACCAAACGGATTACGCATTGTGAACCATGCGTAATCCATGCGGAACTCTTGTAAACTAGTACCTTGTGTTCTACATGTTGGGTTGGTGTAGAAGAGGAGGTTTCTGGGTTTGTATTTCCCCCACTTATCAAGATTGAAATATAGAAGTTCAATCCGGATAAGGACTTCATAAACATTAATTTACTAATAATAAAGAAAAGTAAAACATGACCATAAAATGTGTTAATTTTTATTGAAAAGTTTCTATATTACATGAGGTCCTGGAGTATGGGACCTCAGGCCTATTTTTCCCAGTTTATCATCAAAAGATTTTAATTT